TAACATATCTTTTAATTTCCCAAGTTAAAGACAACACGTTTGAAACATGTTGGCAAACACAACGTCTATATGACTACTTCTCATCATTAACTTCTGACCAACAATAATTTATGCTAAGCTGGTTATTTTGCAGGTCACCCAAAATCCAAAGCCTTCGTCACCCATACGGGCTCTAACGGTATGTACGAGGCCCTGTACCACGGGGTACCCATGGTCTGTCTGCCGCTTTTCGGGGACCAGCCCGGCAACGCGGCTCGGGTGGTATCCAGAGGGCTGGGAGTGAGGCTGGACTTCAACACGTTCACAACAGAAACATTGTACCAGGCCATTACGCAGGTTCTAACTGACAAAAGGTACGGTAATGCATCATGACACGTTGTCGTATAACAAGTATATGTATGGCATCTGGATGCATAGGTCTAAATAACCAATATTAGTGAGCACGAGTGGATAATTGAGTTCTTTATTGCAAGTTCGTGCACAAGAGCTACTTGCAAACAGATAATAACATCCAAACGCCAAAAAAAGAAGTATTCAATAATTAATAAGACAACATAAGTAGCTAGTCTTCCCTCATTAAACGCTTAGCTTTGCCCATATCAGACCTGTCCTTGGTGCTGAAGGATAATCTTTACAGTATCTACAGTATAATATTTCTATTGAAATTGATACATTTTTCAGAAAGAAATAGATTTCTTTGCCATTTTTGATCTAATGACAATAGCGTTTTAGACAAGGAAGCATACCAAGGAAAACTAATTCTCCCTTCGATTGGACTATGCTACAGATTTGTTCGTATTTGCCCGTCAGTAGCTACCGTGAGACGGCAGCCCGCCTGTCCCGTCTGCACCGTGACCAGCCCCAGTCACCCATGGAGCGGGCCGTCTGGTGGATAGAACACGTCATCAAACAGGGCGGACTGCCCCATCTCCGCGCACGCGCCGTGGAGCTGCCGTGGTACCAGTACTACCTGCTAGACGTGGCTGCCTTCCTGTTGGCCGTCTGTTCAGCTCTTCTTGTGCTCATCTGGTGCAGCTGTCCCCTTGTCTGTAGAAAGATTTGTCGTAAAAGTGGTGGCAAGCTGAAGTCTCAGTAAAGAGTCCTAAAGATTGTAACGTTAGGAGCCCCTTACTAGCACTATCTGCTGCATCATAAGCTACGGCTGTATAATAAAAGAAGTTATTTACGTATATGTACATGGTACAATACATGGGAAACAACAATAATAACAACAATTCTGAGAGTCTAATATCTATATGACATTCTTGTAACTAACTAAGTAAACAGGAGGATACTAACTTGCAAGGATAAGTAACATGCATACATGAAATGCAGTGCAATTGCCGTGTCCTAAAAAGTGGCGTGTTTAATCTTAGGAGCCGGAGTTCTATCCCCGACATCTGCTTGTAAAGTCCGATTCTTATTTGACACTAGCTCGACTGTTTTTTCAAACACCTTCCTTTCTTGACAAGTCCAAAAAATAGAATAAACTTAGAGAGAGATGAAAGTCGGGGAAACAAAAGCTGCAACAAATATATGCTCGTTTAGTTTCTTGAATCTGGAACAATATTCAGCCTGAAGAGGTACATGTACTAGTATCAGAAAAAGAAATGTAGAGATTTCAGCCTCATACTACACATGCATGACAGCAGCTAAAGAACGGGTCTTCTCTAGATCTTTTAGATATATTTTTCTCGAAAACAAAGTAGAATGTATAATATTTTGTCCAGTTTCCGGTAACAGATTCTTCAAAATATCGGTACGGTTCGGCTAGATCAAGGCCACGTCATGACGTGGTACGACCCAAAGTTCTACTAACCTCATGTCATCGTCACAGCAACGCCCCCTGTGCTGAGTAAACTAGCAGGTCAATGTTCCACCGGTCGTTTTGCCTACGTGGAGCACGCGTGTTTCTACAACCGAATTATCTATTCCCAACTAAACTAGTTTCTACAGCGCCACAAAGGTTGTGGTTTTGATTTTTCTGTGGCACAAGGTCATCATTCTTAAGCTGTCTACATATTACAAGACCTGCAAACTGTGGAAACTCCCAAGCCAGCTGCTTAAACTTTGAGAATTTGAGACACGTTCGGATCCCAGGTCACTTCCGCGTAGCCTCTCAAACGACGTCCGGATCGTCTAGACGCAACGCCATGGAGATCAGATCGCGGTATGTACTGTTGTGTGTGATAATAATTCTGACTGTTCACGGAATCGGCGCGGAGAAGGTTCTGGTGGTGCCGCCGGCCGTAGCGGGCAGCCACTGGTTCCCCCTAGCGTCAGTCGGTCAGGCCTTGGCGGGGAGGGGCCACGACGTCACCGTTGTTGTCTCTCAGGACATCGTGGACAAACGTCGCACCGAGAGACCCGACCTGCAGTTCGAGTCGTTCTTAGACAAGAGAAGTCATGCTGGGTTGGAAGCCATTATAGCCCAGATGAGCGACGTGTCGGATAACTCTATGTTCCATAGGTTGCAAATCTTGAAAGAGATGACCAAATTTACGGCTCAGTACTGCGATCTGCTGCTAGGAGATGTCGGCTTGATGCGGAGGCTGAAACAAGCACGTTTTCAGGTTGTCGTATCAGAGCCTTTCATTTGCCAGTGCGGAGCCATAGTCGCAGCACATCTGGGCCTCCCTCACGTCGCCCTCCTGCGTAATGACCCTGTTGGACTTGACTCCCTCGCCACAGGTGTGCCCCGCCCCCCGTCCTATGTACCATTTCTCCTGTCCAGTTTTACCGACCGGATGACTTTCTCACAGCGGGTACAGAACCTTGTCGTGTCATTTAGAGTGTCCATGATGTTTCAGTGGATCTCAGGAGGTATCAACAAAGACTTGGTGAGAAAGTACCTTGGCGAGGAGGAGACTCTTGTGGGGTTTTTGGCTAAGACGGATGTGTGGCTGTATCAAACTGACGTTTTGCTGGACCTCCCGAGCCCGAGAATGCCCAACATGGTCGACGTCGGAGGGATAAACTCTCAAGCGGCCAATTCACTTTCCGAGGTGCGTGTGTGTGTGATCGTGCATGTGTATGTGGTGGTATGCGCGTGTATTTGCTTGCGTGTCTTGTGTGCGAGCATATATGTGTATAGGTATGTATGTGCTTGTGTTTGTATGTGGCGACATACAGTATAGATCACCTTCTTCCTCCATACCAACACATTAGAAGCACGTTGCACTTGTCGAATAATGAGAACCCCTCCTCTCCTTTACAGGATTTAGAGTTGTTCATGCAGAGTTCTGGCGGTGCTGGGGTCGTGGTGGTCAGCTTCGGCTCCCAGGCCAAGACCATCAACCCTGAAAGGGCAGAGGTCATGGCAGCAGCCTTCTCACAGCTCCGACAGAAGGTGGTGTGGCGGTACACGGGAGAGAAGCCGGTCGGGCTGGGCAACAACACCAAGCTGATGAGCTGGCTGCCGCAGAACGACTTACTGGGTGGGAAATTTTAACCATACAAACATATCTTTATGTACACATGCACCCAAACTCAACGTAACTGCACACACACACCACGTTCGTTAGTTAAACAGACCAGTCTCATACTTAAACTTGTACAAAATCACATTTCACAGAGACTGTACATCTTAAAAAAAGATTAACACAAGGCAGTTGTGAATAATTGTATAACTATGGTACCATGCATTACATAGGATCACAAAGGACATATCTAACTTCGTGACGGGAGTATTTTTAATGGTTTTTTCTCCGTGGGCCAAAAAAAAAGCTGTACAAGACAGACCCTCTGTAATAGTAACATATCTTTTTCCTAAGTTAAAGACAACACCACGTGTGTAACATGTAGGCAAACAGAACGTCTATATGACTACTTCTTATCATTAACTTCTGACCAACAATAATTTATGCTACGCTGGTTATTTTGCAGGTCACCCAAAAACCAAAGCCTTCGTCACCCATACCGGGATTAACGGTGTGTTCGAGGCCCTGTACCACGGGGTGCCCATGGTCTGTCTGCCGCTTTTCGGAGACCAGCCCGGCAACGCGGCTCGGGTAGTCTCCAGAGGGCTGGGAATGAGGCTAGACTTCAACACGTTCACAACAGAAACATTGTACCAGGCCATTATGCAGGTTCTAACTGACAAAAGGTGCGTTAATGCAACATGACACGTTGTCTTATGACAAGTATATGTATGGCAGCATAATTCACAGGTCTAAATATCCAAAAGGGAGCACGAGTGAAAAATAACATCCAAACGCCAAGAAAAAAGTATTCTATAATCAATAAGGGAACATTAGTAGCTAGTCTTGCCTTATTGAACGCTTAGCTTTGCCCATATCAGACCTGTCCTTGGTGCTGAAGGATAATCTATACAATATCTACAGCATAATCTGTCTATTGAAATTTATATGTTTTGCAACAAAGATAGATTTCTTTGCCATTGTTGATCTAATGACAAAATCGTTTTTGACAAGTAAGCATACCAAGGAAAACAACTTCTCCCTTCGATTGGACTATGCTACAGATTTGTTCTTGTTTGCCCGTCACTAGCTACCTTGAGACGGCAGCCCGCCTGTCCCGTCTGCACCGTGACCAGCCCCAGTCACCCATGGAGCGGGCCGTCTGGTGGATAGAACACGTCATCAAACATGGCGGACTGCCCCATCTCCGCGCACGCGCCTTGGAGCTGCCGTGGTACCAGTACTACCTGCTGGACGTGGCCGCCTTCCTGTTGGCCGTCTGTTCAGCTGTTCTTGTGCTTATCTGTTGCAGCTGTTCTCTCGTCTGTAGAAAAAATTGTAGTAAAAGTGGTGGCAAGCTGAAGTCTCAGTAAAGAGTCCTAAAGATTGTAACGTTAGGAGCCCCTCACTAACACTATCTGCTGCATCATAAGCTACGGTTGTATAATAAAAGAAGTTATTTACGTATATGTACATGGTACAATACATGGGAAACAACAATAATAACAACAATTATGTGAGTCTAATATCTATATGACATCCTTGTAACTAACCAAGAAAACAGGAGGATACTAACTTGCAAGGATAAGTAGCATGCATACATGGAATGCAGTGCAATTGCAGTGTCCTGAAAAGTGGTGTGTTTAATTTTAGGAGCCGGAGTTCTATCCCCGACATCTGCTTCCGATTCTTATTTGACACTAGCTCGACTGTTTTTTTTTTTTTTTCATACACCTTCCTTTCTTGTGAAGTCCAAAAAATAGAATAAAGATGAAAGTCGGGGAAACAAAAGCTGCAACAAATATATGCTCGTTTAGTTTCTTGAATCTGGAACAATATTCAGCCTAAAGAGGCACATGTACTAGTATCAGAAAAAGAAATGTAGAGATTTCAGCCTCATACCACACATGCATGGCAGCAGCTAAAGAACGGGTCTTCTCTAGATCTTTTAGATATATTTTTCTCGAAAACAAAGTAGAACGTATAATATTTTGTCCAGTTTCCGGTAATAGATTCTTCAAAATATCGGTACGGTTCGGCTGGATCAAGGCCACGTCATGACGTGGTACGACCCAAAGTTCTACTAACCTCATGTCATCGTCACAGCAACGCCCCCTGTGCTGAGTAAACTAGCAGGTCAATGTTCCATCGGTCGTTTTGCCTACGTGGAGCACGCGTGTTTCTACAACCGAATTATCTATTCCCAACTAAACTAGTTTCTACAGCGCCACAAAGGTTGTCGTTTTGATTTTTCTGTGGCACAAGGTTATCATTCTTAAGCTGTCTACATATTACAAGACCTGCAAACTGTGGAAACTCCCAAGCCAGCTGCTTAAACTTTGAGAATTTGAGACACGTTCGAATCTCAGGTCACTTCCGCGTAGCCTCTCAAACGACGTCCGGATCGTCTAGACGCAACGCCATGGAGATCAGATCGCAGTATGTACTGTTGTGTGTGATGATAAGTCTGACTGTTCACGGAATCGGGGCGGATAAGGTTCTGGTGGTGCCGCCGGCCGTAGCGGGCAGCCACTGGTTCCCCCTAGCGTCAGTCGGTCAGGCCTTGGTGGGGAGGGGCCACGACGTCACTGTTGTTGTCTCTCAGGACATCGTGGACAAACGTCGCACCGAGAGACCCGAGCTGCAGTTCGAGTCGTTCTTAGACAAGAGAAGTCATGCTGGGTTGGAAGCCATTATAGCCCAGATAATCGACGTGCCGGATAACTCTATGTTCCATAGGTTGCAAATCTTGAAAGAGATGACCAAATTTACGGCTCAGTACTGCGATCTGCTGCTAGGAGATGTCGGCTTGATGCGGAGGCTGAAACAAGCACGTTTTCAGGTTGTCGTATCAGAGCCCTTCTTTTGCCAGTGCGGAGCCATAGTCGCAGCATATCTGGGAGTCCCTCACGTCGCCCTCCTGCGTAATGACCCCTCAGGACTTGACACCCTCGCCACAGGTGTGCCCCGCCCCCCGTCCTATGTACCGTTTCTCCTGTCCAGTTTTACAGACCGGATGACATTCTCACAGCGGGTACAGAACCTTGTCGTGCCATTTAGAGTGTCTGTGATGTTTCAGTGGATCTCGGGACGTATCAACAACGACTTGGTGAAAAAGTACCTTGGCAAGGAGGAGACTCTTGTGGGGATTTTGGCGAAGACAGATGTGTGGCTGTATCAAACTGACGTTTTGCTGGACCTCCCGAGCCCGAGAATGCCCAACATGGTCGACGTTGGAGGGATAAACTCTCAAGCGGCCAATTCTCTTTTCGAGGTGCGTCTGTGTGTGATCGTGTGTATGTGGTGTTATGCGCTTGTATTTAATTGCGTGTCTTGTGTGCGAGCATATATGTGTAAAGGTATGTATGTGCTTGTGTTTGTATGTGGCGACATACGGTATAGATCACCTCATTCCCCCATACCAACACATTAGAAGCACGGTGCACTTGTCGAATAATGAGAACCCCTCCTCTCCTTTACAGGATTTAGAGTTGTTCATGCGTAGTTCTGGCGGTGCTGGGGTCGTGGTGGTCAGCTTCGGCTCACAGGCCAAGACCATCAACCCTGAAAGGGCAGAGGTCATGGCAGCAGCTTTCGCGCAGCTCCGACAGAAGGTGGTCTGGCGGTACACGGGAGAGAAGCCGGCCGGGCTGGGCAACAACACCAAGCTGATGAGCTGGCTGCCGCAGAACGACTTACTGGGTGGGAAATTTTAACCATACAAACATATCTTTATGTACACATGCACCCAAACTCAACATAACTGCACACACACACCGCGTTCGTCAGTTAAACAAACCAGTCTCATACTTAAACTTGTACAAAATCACATTTCACAGAGACTGTACATCATAATAAAAGATAAACACAAGGCAGTTGTGAATAATTGTATAACTATGGTACCATGCATTACATAGGGTCACAAAGGACATATCTAACTTCGTGACGGGAGTATTTTAATGTTTTTTTTCTCCGTGGGCCAAAAAAAAAGCTGTACAAGACAGACCTTAAGCTTCTGTAATAGTAACATATCTTTTTCCCAAGTTAAAGACAACACCACGTGTGTAACATGTAGGCAAACAGAACGTCTATATGACTACTTCTTATCATTAACTTCTGACCAACAATAATTTATGCTACGCTGGTTATTTTGCAGGTCACCCAAAAACCAAAGCCTTCGTCACCCATACCGGGATTAACGGTGTGTTCGAGGCCCTGTACCACGGGGTGCCCATGGTCTGTCTGCCGCTTTTCGGAGACCAGCCCGGCAACGCGGCTCGGGTAGTCTCCAGAGGGCTGGGAATGAGGCTAGACTTCAACACGTTCACAACGGAAACATTGTACCAGGCCATTGTGCAGGTTCTAACTGACAAAAGGTGCGTTAATGCATCATGACACGTTGTCTTATGACAAGTATATGTATGACAGCATAATTCACAGGTCTAAATATCCAAAAGTGAGCACGAGTGAAAAATAACATCCAAAGGCCAAAAAAGAAGTATTCTATAATCAATAAGGGAACATTAGTAGCTAGTCTTGCCTTATTGAACGCTTAGCTTTGCCCATATCAGACCTGTCCTTGGTGCTGAAGGATAAGCTATACAATATCTACAGCATAATATTTCTATTGAAATTGATACGTTTTGCAGGAAAGATAGATTTCTTTGCCATTGTTGATCTAATGACAAAATCGTTTTTGACAAGTAAGCATACCAAGGAAAACAACTTCTCCCTTCGATTGGACTATGCTACAGATTTGTTCTTGTTTGCCCGATACTAGCTACCGTGAGACGGCAGCCCGCCTGTCACGTCTGCACCGTGACCAGCCCCAGTCACCCATGGAGCGGGCCGTCTGGTGGATAGAACACGTCATCAAACATGGCGGACTGTCCCATCTCCGCGCACGCGCCGTGGAGCTGCCGTGGTACCAGTACTACCTGCTGGACGTGGCCGCCTTCCTGTTGGCCGTCTGTTCAGCTGTTCTTGTGCTCATCTGGTGCAGCTGTTCTCTCGTCTGTAGAAAGATTTGCCGTAAAAGTGGCGACAAGCTGAAGTCTCAGTAGAGAATTCCAAAGATTGTAACGTTAAGCTCACTAGCACTATCTACTGTAGGTTACATCATAAGCTACGTTTGTATAATTATTGTATAGAATTAATTGATTAACTCTATTATACAGTATCTGTATACGGTACAATACATGGAAAACAACTTTAACAGCCTCTCAGCGTCTAATCTTCACATGACATCCTTGTAAGTAAACTACGAAAACAGGAAAAAACTCGAGTAACTTTTGATAAGTAACTCCTCAAAAGAAATGTTTGATCTGATATTATTAGTAGGATCTTCTATCCCCAAGATCTGCTTGTAGATTAAAGTCTCGTTTGCATTTGACCTTACAAAAGTCGCTGTACTTTTTGTTGTGTCAATAAAGTTCTCTCTCTCTATTATTTGACATTCGTCCGACTGTTTTTGTCAAACAGCTTCTTGTCTTGAAAATTTGAAGAAATAGTAAGAAGAAAAGAAGAAATGATAGTTACCACAAGAAGTATCTGCTCCTTCGTGTTTCCTTTCTTGATTCTGGAGCAATATTCAGCCTAAAGAGGTATATATATGGACTAGTATCAGAACGAGAAATATAGAAAATTCATCCTTAGACTACTAGACTACAGTGGCTAAAGAACGGGTCCTCTGAAATAAACTTCTCGCAAAGGAGCCTATGTAATATTTTGTCCAGGTTCTGGTCCCAGATTCACTGCAAAAAGTCCGATTTTCAAGCATACCTTAAATTTAGGGCAAAAATGTTCCGTTTTTTACTCGAATCAAGTAACAGACCTTTACGCATGCTTTGATTTGTGCTGAAAGATAGAGTTTCACGCAAAGATTCTTCAAAATTGAATATTTGTAAGATTCAAATTCTGCTCATACAAACCTGATGTGGTACGACCCAAAGTTCGACTGACTTCAAGTCATCGCCACAGCAATGACCCCTGTGCTAAGAAAGCTAGAAGGTCAATGATCCGCAGGTCGTTTTCCCAAAGTGCACCACGTGCTACTGAGTCATCTATTACCTAACAAAACAAGTTTGCAGAGCGGAACAAAGGTTGTGGTTTTTTGTGGCACACGCTCGTCATTTGTTTAGTTGTCTTCATATTACAAGACATGTAAACTGTGGAAACTTCATACCTGAGAGTTTGAGACACTTTCGGATTTAGGTCACTTCCAAGTAGCCTCTCAAACAACGTCCGCAACGCCATGGAGATCATATCGCAGTACGTACTGTTGTGTGTGCTGATAAGTCTGACAGTTTACGGAACCGGCGCGGAGAAGGTTCTGGTGGTGCCGCCGATCATAGGGGGCAGCCTCTGGTTCCCCCTGGCGTCAATCGGCCAAGCCTTGGCGGGGAGGGGCCACGACGTCACCGTTGTTGTCTCTCAGGACATCGTGGACAAACGTCGCGCCGAGAGACCCAACCTACGGTTCGAGTCGTTCTTTGACCAGGGAAGCCGTGCGCGGTACGAAGCCAGCTTAGACAAGGCAAGTGAAATGTTCCATGAGTCTTTGTTCCGTGAGTTCCAACACTTCCAAGAGAGGTTCAAATTTATGGCTGAGCACTGCGATCTATTGCTGGGAGATACTGACTTGATGGGGAGGCTGAAACAAGCACGTTTTCAGGTTGTCGTGTCACAGCCGTTCTTTAGCCAGTGTGGAGTCATAGTCGCAGCTCACCTGGGCGTTCCCCACGTTGCTGTCTTGCGTAGTGACCGCACACAATATGACGCCTTCGCCACAGGTGTGCCCCGGCCCCGGTCCTATGTACCGTATATCTTGTCCAGTTTTACCGACTGGATGACTTTCTCACAGCGGGCACAGAACCTTATCATGTCGTGTGCAGTGCCTGTGGTGTTTGAGTGGAGCGTGGGACGTATCAAGTATGACTTGGTGAAAAAGTACCTCGGCGAGGAGGAGACTCCCCTTGGGGTTTTGGCGAAGACAGATGTGTGGCTGTATCAAACCGACGTTTTGCTGGACCTCCCGAGGCCGAGGATGCCTAACATGGTGGACGTCGGAGGAATAAACTCCCAAGAGGCCAATCCACTTTCCGAGGTGCGTCTGTGTGTGCTCGTGTTTACGTATGCGCGAGTGTTTGTTTTTTATGAGTGTGCGCCTGTGAGCATGTATCTTCATAAACGCGCGTTTGTGTAACTGTGTTTGTGTGCGTGTATGTATGTGTTTTGTGTCCAGCGTGTGTATGAATCATGAGCGCCCGCGTGTGTTTGTAGATGTGTGCGCGCGCCTGTGTGCGTGCGTATGTATGATTATGCATGCCACACACAGTATGGCTTACCTCTGCCCTAATAACACGGATAATAGAAGCAACGTTGCACTTGTAGAATAATGCAGACCCCGTCCTCTCCTTTACAGGATTTAGAGCTGTTCATGCAGAGTTCTGGCAGTGCTGGGGTCGTGGTGGTCAGCTTCGGTTCACAGGCCTGTGAGCATGTATCTTCATAAACGCGCGTTTGTGTAACTGTGTTTGTGTGCGTGTATGTATGTGTTTTGTGTCCAGCGTGTGTATGAATCATGAGCGCCCGCGTGTGTTTGTAGGTGTGTGCACGCGCCTGTGTGCGTGCATATGTATGTTTATGCCACACACACGGTATGGCTCACCTCTGCCCTCATAACAGGGATAATAGAAGTGACGTTGCACTTGTAGAATAATGCAGACACTGTCCTCTCCTTTACAGGACTTAGAGCTGTTCATGCAGGGTTCTGGCAGTGCTGGGGTCGTGGTGGTCAGCTTCGGCTCACAGGCCAAGACCATCAACCTTGAAAGGGCAGAGGTCATGGCAGCAGCCTTCGCGCAGCTCCGACAGAAGGTGGTCTGGCGGTACACGGGAGAGAAGCCGGCCGGGCTGGGCAACAACACCAAGCTGATGAGCTGGCTGCCGCAGAACGACTTACTGGGTGGGAGATTATTTCCAGACAAACAGAAACACACATAATCTCCAGTGACAAATGCACACACATTTTTTGTTAATTCCCCCCCTCTCTCTCTCTCTCTCGCTCTCTCTCTCTCTTTGTGAGTAGGTCTGTCTCTAAATTCATAGTTTAGCCGATGTTTTAGACATATTTCCTCTTGCAAGAAAACACTAAGTCTGTAAGCTGCACAGAACATCTATTTCCATTACATGTACTTCTCAACAACAATTTACAACTTCTGACTTATCCTACGTTTCTTACTCAGTCAACTTTTATTTTGTAGGTCACCCGAAAACCAAAGCCTTCGTCACCCATACCGGAGGTAACGGTATGTTCGAGGCCCTGTACCACGGGGTGCCCATGGTCTGTACACCGCTGGGCAAGGACCAGCGCGGCAACGCGGCTCGGGTAGTCTCCAGGGGGCTGGGAGTGAGGCTAGACTTCAACACGTTCGCAACAGAAACATTTTACCAGGCCATTATACAGGTTCTAACTGATAAAAGGTGCATTAATGCATCATGACACGTTGTCGAATGACAAATATATGTATGGCAGCATAATGCATAGTCTATATAACCAATAGTGAGAATGAGTGAATACTAACTTCCAAACGCCAAAAAAGAAGTATTCTACATGTATGATCAATAAGGCAACATTAGTAGCTAGTCTTGCCTTATTGAACGCTTAGCTTTGCCCACATCAGACCTGTCCTTGGTGCTGAAGGATAATCTATACAATATATACAGTATAATATTTCCATTGAAATTGATACGTTTTTCAGAAAGAAATAGATTTCTTTGCCATTGTTGATCTGATGACAATATCGTTTTAGACAATCAAGAAAGCTAAAGCATACCAAGGAAAACTACATTCTCCTTTCGATTTGACTATTATACAGATTTATCGTTTTAGACAAGGAAGCATACCAAGGAAAACTACATTCTCTCTTCGTCGATTGGACTATGCTACAGATTTGTTCTTGTTTGCCCGATACTAGCTACCGTGAGACGGCAGCCCGCCTGTCCCGTCTGCACCGTGACCAGCCCCAGTCACCCATGGAGCGGGCCGTCTGGTGGATAGAACACGTCATCAAACATGGCGGACTGCCCCATCTCCGCGCACGCGCCGTGGAGCTGCCGTGGTACCAGTACTACCTGCTGGACGTGGCTGCCTTCTTGTTGGCCGTCTGTTCAGCTGTTCTTGTGCTCATCTGGTACAGCTGTTCTCTCGTCTGTAGAAAGATTTGCCGTAAAAGTGGCGGCAAGCTGAAGTCTCAGTAGAGAATCCCAAATATTGTAACGTTAGAGGTGGCTCCCTTGCAGTATCTACTGTATGTAACATCATAAGCTATGTTTGTATACACAGAATTAATTCATGAACTTAATTACAAAGCATCTGCATATGGTACAATGCATGGAAACCACAACAACAATTATCAATTAAATTAAGTTAACAGTAGGAAACACTTACTAGTAACTTATGAAAAGTAATAAGTAACATAAAATGCAATGTTGTTAGTCTCCTAAAAAGAAGTAATTGATCTACTAATACGAAATCTGCTTGCAGATTTTAGTCCGATTCTTATCTGACATTCATTCATCTGTTTTTGCCAAACATCTACTTGTCTTAAAAAGCTGAAGAAATAGATTAAAGATGAAAGATGGTAAAATGATAGCTGCCGCAACAAACATCTACTCCTTCGTGTTTCCTTTCGTTAATCTGGCCATGGATTCAGCCTAAAGAGGTGATTAGACTAGTATCAGAAAGAGAAATGTAGCGATTTCAGCCTGGTTCTTAAAAATTTTAGTATGGTATCATTCGACAAGTTGTGCGATTCAACGTTTGACTGACCTCATGTCATCGCCACAGCAACGCGGCCCAGTGTGCTAAGTAAACTAGCAGGTCAATGTTCTACCGGTCGTTTTGCCTAGGTGAAGCGCGTGTTCCTACTGAATTATCTATTCCCAACCAGAATAGTTTGTAGAGCGCCATAGTGGACCATCATTTCATGTACTCCCCACGTCGTCGGTTCTTTCTGGAGAATCCTGGCCGAAGGAAGAATAAATTTCCCCAGAATTAATAGTATCAAGGTTCCGAAGGACGTATTTTAGCGTAAATTTTGCGGTTAAAACCAGGAATTTATCGCCAAAAAGGCACTAAAAACAACAAAACAAAGCGCTCAGCTGTGGCGCGCAGGATTGAGTACTTAGAATGCCCCATACAATAAGTCGTAGTACGGTCACGATTCGTCAAATGAGGCTGGTTTATGTGTCCCCGTGATGTCAACGAGTCAAACAACCATGTGTGGGTCAGTTGGAAATTCGAAAAGCATTTGAAGACGAGATATGTCCCGTCAAAGTTGACCTTCTAACTACTCATTTTGGCGTGTTTTTTTTCCGTCCGGCAGGCAGAGGACAGTGCCATTTTGGTTCCGGGTCGGAGTTTAAATCTGGCCAGGGTTCCAAATAGTGTGCATGCAGTAAATCGCCGGATCTGCCAGGTTGTCAAGCTAGGTTTGGCTCCCCATAGCTCGGTGATCGTTGTAGATTTTCTAATAGGTTTTGAATTGATTTTAAAAAAAAACTGTGATTGTGGTCTTTTTCAGCGTTGTGAAGTTGGACGGCCAGCGAAGCGATTTGGTATTAGTCAGCGAGCAAGGGTGATGCGGTTTGTCGCCTGATGACCCAAATAGCTGCGTTTTATCACGGTGGACTTTCAAGGCATTCGCGTCACCGGATTTTGCGAAAAACGTATCGCAACAACCTATATTTTTCACGTTTTTCAGAAACAGGAAGAAGTAAGCTATTTCAGCATATAAGCCGTTAGCCTGGGAAAATTCGTTTTTTTTTCCAAGCAGGTCCGTTGAATTTGAAAAACTGCGAAAAAAATGTATTTTTCGTACCCAAAATTTACGTTTAACTACAGTTTCTACCCAAATTATAGAATCGAAGGACAATAACCGAATTTCTATCGAAAGCCGGCTGGAAACCTCCGTTGACTGATGTACTTTTTTTGTCGGAGTTGTTGCCCTTCGGTCTGAGGGTGTCCGCCGGATCCTAAATCGTGAAAAAAAAAATCAGGTCCGAGATCTTTTGAGAAAATCCGGCCGCAAAGCATCCTGGGATGAGGTCATCAGTAATATCGTAATGCCCTTTGACCCCTGACCCCTTTCGCTCAATGAGCACAAAGTAACTTCCGGGTTTGGCGAATTTCACAGCGCCGCTAAGTTTCGTGCGGAATACCCTATCCTGAATGTATTCGGGACCCGCACACAGGGCATGTACTGCGATCCCGCGAATTTATCCGGGACCCGCAACATCGGAAGTTGAGACAAGTTTGGAGCTCAGATCACTTCCGCGTAGCCTCTCGACCAACGTCCGGATTTTTCCAACGCCATGGAGATTGGGACGCAGCATGTAGTGTTTTGTGTGATGATAATTCTGACAGTTCACGGAAGCAGCACGGAGAAGGTTCTGGTGGTGCCGCCCGTCATAGGGGGCAGCCACTGGTTTCCCCTAGCGTCAGTCGGCCAGGCCTTGGCGGGGAGGGGCCACGACGTCACCGTTGTTGTCTCTCAGGACATCGTGGACAAACGTCGTGCCGAGAGACCCGACCTGCGGTTCGAGTCGTTCTTTGACCAAGGAAGCCGTGCCCAGTTGGAAGCCAACACAGCTCAGATAGAAGAAGCGTTTAATAAGTCCGTCTTCAATGTTTTGCAACACCTCCAAGAGGGGATGAACTTTATGGCTGAGCACTGTGATCTGCTGATGGCAAAAGCTAACTTGATGGGGGGGCTGAAACAAGCACGTTTTCGGGTTGTTGTGTCACAGCCGTTCTTTAGCCAGTGTGGAGCCATAGTCGCAGCTCACCTGGGCGTCCCCCACGTCGCTCTCCTGCGTGGTGACCCCTCGGGACTTAACTCCTTCGCAACAGGGGTGCCCCGCCCCCCGTCCTATGTACCGTATATCTTGTCCAGTTTTACCGACCGGATGACTTTCTCACAGCGAGTGCAGAACCTTGTCGTGTCATGCTCAGCGCCTGTGGTGTTTCAGTGGATCGTGGGGCGTATCAACAATGATCTAGTGAAAAAGTACCTCGGCGAGGAGGAGACTCTTCTGGGGGTTTTGGCGAAGACGGATGTGTGGCTGTATCAAACCGACTCTTTGCTAGACCTCCCGAGCCCGAGGATGCCCAACATGGTCGACGTCGGAGGATTACACTGCCAAGAGGCCAATCCACTTTCCGAGGTGCGTCTGTGTGAGATCGTGTGTACGTATGCGCGTGTATGTGTGTGTGTTTTACGTGTGCGCGTGGGTACATGTATCTGTATGAACGCGCGCGTGTGTAACTATGTTTGCGTGCGTGTACGTGCGTATGTGTTTTGTGTCTTGTGTGTGCGCGAGTGTGCATGAATCATGACCGCCCGCGTGTGTAATTGAATGTGTGTGTTCGCGTGTGTGTGCGTGCGTTGTATGTTTATGCCACACATACAGTTTGGCTCACCTTTGCCCTCCCTACTAGGATAATAGAAGCGCCGTTGCACTTGTCGAATAATGTGTCCCCCTCCCCTCCTCTCCTTTACAGGACTTAGAGCTATTCATGCAGAGTTCTGGCAGTGCTGGGGTCGTGGTGGTCAGCTTCGGCTCACAGGCCAAGACCATCAACTCTGAAAGGGCAGAGGTCATGGCAGCAGCCTTCGCGCAGCTCCGACAGAAGGTGGTGTGGCGGTACACGGGAGAGAAGCCGACCAGGCTGGGAAACAACACCATGCTGATGAGCTGGCTGCCGCAGAACGACTTACTGGGTGGGAAATTATTACCAGACAAACAGAAACATAGTCTGACATAATTTCTAGTGGGAAACGCACACACGTCTTTTGTTAATTCTCTCTCTCTCTCTCTGTGCGTGAGTAGGAATCCCTCTACATTTTGCCTCAGTAGCTATAGCTACATGTATATAATTCATAGACTAGCCGATCTTTTATAAATATTTCCTCTTGTAAGACAGCACTAAGTCTGTAAGCGGCACAGAACATCTTCTTCCATTATATTTACTTCTCAACAACAACTTGCAATTGCAACTACTGACTTATCCTACGTTTGTTACTCAGCCAACGCTTATTTTGCAGGTCACCCGAAAACGAAAGCCTTCGTCACCCATACCGGGTCTAACGGTATGTACGAGGCTCTGTACCACGGGGTGCCCATGGTCTGCACACCGCTGGGCAAGGACCAGCACGGCAACGCCGCCCGGGTAATCTCCAGAGGGCTGGGAGTGAGGCTAGACTTCAACACGTTCACAACAGAAACATTTTACCAGGCCATTATGCAGGTTCTAACTGACAGAAGGTGCGTTAATGCATCATGACACGTTGTCCAATGACAAATATATGTATGGCAGCATACTACATAGGTCTAGATAACTAATAGTGAGCAAGAGTAAATAATAATATTCAAACTCCAAAAAAGGAGTATTCTATAATCAATAAGGGAACGATAGTAGCTAGTCTTGCCTTACTGAACGCTTAGCTTTGCCCATATCAGACCTGTCCTTGGTGCTGAAGGATAATCTATACAATTTACAGCATAATCTGTCTATTGAAATTTATATGTTTTGCAGGAAAGATAGATTTCTTTGCCATTGCTGACAATGACAATATCGTTTTAGACAAGGACGAAAGCTAAAGTATACCAAGGAAACTACATTCTCCTTTCGATTGGACTATGCTACAGATTTGTTCTTGTTTGCCCGATACTAGCTACCGTGAGACGGCAGCCCGCCTGTCCCGTCTGCACCGTGACCAGCCCCAGTCACCCATGGAGCGGGCCGTCTGGTGGATAGAACACGTCATCAAACATGGCGGACTGCCCCATCTCCGCGCACGCGCCGTGGAGCTGCCGTGGTACCAGTACTACCTGCTGGACGTGGCTGCCTTCCTGTTGGCCGTCTGTTCAGCTGTTCTTGTGCTCATCTGTTGCAGCTGTTCTCTCGTCTGTCGAAAGATTTGTCGTAAAAGAGGCGGCAAGCTGAAGTCTCAGTAGAGAATCCCAAAGATTTTAACGTTAGAGGTGGCTCACTAGCAGTATCTGCTGTATATAGCATCATAAGCTACGTTTGTATACATAGAATTAATTGATGAAACTTTATTACAAAGCACCTGTGTATGAGAAAATGCATGGAAAACAACAATAACAACAACAATAAAAATTATCAAAATCTAATGTTTATAAGACATCCTTGTAACTAAATTAGGTAAACAGTAGGAAACTCTTGTAACTTATGAAAAGTAATAAGTAGCATAAAATGCAATGAAGTTGTCGTCTTCTAAAAAGATGTAATTGATCTTCTACCACGAAAACTGCTTGTATTTTAAAGTACGATTCTTATCTAACATTCGTCCAACTTTTTTTGCCAAACATCTACTTGCCTTGAAAAGTTGAAGGAATAGAATAAACTTAAGACGAAAGATGTGAAAATGACAGCTGCCACAACAAACATCTGCCACTGCGTGTTTCGTTTCCTTAATCTGGATTCAGCCTAAAGAGGTGAATAGACTAGTATCAGAAAGAGAAATGTAGAGATTTCAGCCTCAGACTACTCATGCAACAGCTAAAGAAGGGGTGCTCTTTCATATGCATTTCTCGAAAACAAACTTAACTGTAATGTATGTTATTTTATTCACTTACTGGTCACTGTTTCATCAAAATATTAGCACGGTATCGTTTGACAAGTGGTACGACCCAAAGTTCGACTGACCTCAAGTCATCGCCACAGCAAAGCGGCCCAGTGTGCTGAGTAAACTATCAGGTCAATGTTCTACCGGTCGATTTGCCTAGGTCATTAGCACGTACTTGTACCTACTGAATTATCTATTCCCGACCAGAATAGTTTGTAGAGCGCCATAGAGGTTGTGGTTGTTATTTTTGTGTCGTCATTGTTAACTGTCATATTACAAGACCTGCAAACTGTAGAAACTACTAATCAAGCTGCTTAAAACTTCGGAATTTGAGACACGTTCGGAGCTCAGGTCACTTCCGCGTAGCTTCTCGAACAACTTTCGGATCTTTTCAACGCAATGGAGACTGGAATGCAGTATGTAGTGTTGTGTGTGATGGTAATTCTGACTGTTCACAGAATCGGGGCGGAGAAGGTTCTGGTGGTACCGCCGGCCGTTGGGGGTAGCCACTGGTTTCCTCTAGCGTCAGTCGGCCAAGCCTTGGCGGGGAGGGGCCACGACGTCACCGTTGTTATCTCTCAGGACATCGTGGACAAACGTCGCGCCGAGAGACCCGAGCTTCGGTTCGAGTCATTCTTTGACCAGGGAAGCCGTGCCCAGTTGGAAGCCAACACAGCTCAGATAGAAGAAGTGTTTAATAAGTCCGTCTTCAATGTTTTGCAACACCTCCAAGAGGGGATGAACTTTATGGCTGAGCACTGTGATCTGCTGCTGGCAAATGCAAACTTGATGGGGGGGCTGAAACAAGCACGTTTTCGGGTTGTCGTGTCACAGCCGTTCTTTAGCCTTTAGCCAGTGGGAGCCATAGTCGCAGCTCACCTGGGGGCTGGGAGTGAGGCTAGACTTCAACACGTTCACAACAGAAACATTGTACCAGGCCATTACGCAGGTTCTAACTGACAAAAGGTGTGTTATTGCATCATGACACGTTGTCCAATGACAAATATATGTATGGCAGCATAATGCATAGGTCTAGATAACTAATAGTGAGCAAGAGTAAATAATAACATTCAAACTCCAAAAAAGAAGTATTCTATTATCAGTAAGGTAACGTTAGTAGCTAGTATTGCCTTATTGAACGCTTAGCTTTGCCCACATCAGATCTGTCCTTGGTGCTGAAGGATAATCCATACAATATTTACAGCATAATCTTTCATGAAATTGATACGTTTTGCAGAAAATAGATTTCTTTGCCATTGTTGATCTAATGACAATATCGTTTTAGACAAAGAACAAAGTTAAAGCATACCAAGGAAAACTACATTCTGCCTTCGATTGGACTATGCTACAGATTTGTTCTTGTTTGCCCGATACTAGCTACCGTGAGACGGCAGCCCGCCTGTCCCGTCTGCACCGTGACCAGCCCCAGTCACCCATGGAGCGGGCCGTCTGGTGGATAGAACACGTCATCAAACATGGCGGACTGCCCCATCTCCGCGCACGCGCCGTGGAGCTGCCGTGGTACCAGTACTACCTGCTGGACGTGGCTGCCTTCCTGTTGGCCGTCTGTTCAGCTGTTCTTGTGTTCATCTGGTGCAGCTGTTTACTCGTCTGTAGAAAGATTTGCCATAAAAGTGGCGGCAAGCTGAAGTCTCAGTAGAGAATCCCAAAGATTGTAACGTTAAAGGTGACTCACTAGCGGTATCTGCTGTATGTAACATCATAATCTATGTTTGTATACACAGAATTAATTGCATGATGAACTTTATTACAAAGCATCTGTATATGATACAATGCATTGAAAACAACAACAATAACAACAACAATTATCAAAATCGAAGCTTTATATGACATTCTTATAACTGAATTAGGTAAACAATAGGAAACTCTAGTAACTTACGATAAGTCATATAAAATGCAATGTTGTTAGTCTCCTAAAAAGAAGTAATTGATCTTCTAATACGAAATCTGCTTGTAGATTAAAGTCCGATTCTTATCAACTATTTTTGCCAAACATCTACTTGCCTTGAAAAGTTGAAGGAATAGAATAAAGACGAAAGATGTGAAAATGATAGCTGCCACAACAAACATCTGCTACTGCGTGTTTCCTGTCGTTAATCTGGATTCAGTCTAAAGAGGTAAATATACTACTATCAGAAAGAGAAATGTAGAGATTTCAGCCTGATTCTTTAAAATATTAGTACGGTATCGTTCGACAAGTGGAACGACCCAGCGTTCGACTGACCTCATGTCATCGCCACAGCAACGCGGCCCAGTGTGTGCTAAGTAAACTAGCAGGTCAATGTTCTACCGGTCGTTTTGCCTACGTGGAGCACGACGTGTATACTGAATGATCTATTCCCGACCAGAATAGTTTGTATAGCGTCATAGAGGTTGCGATTCTGATTTTTTGTTGCCCACAGTCTTCATTGTTTAGCTTGTCATATTACCAGACCTGCAAACTGTGGAAACTCCCAAGCCAGCTGCTTAGAACTTGAGAATTTGAGACACGTTCGGATCTCAGGTCACTTCCGCGTAGCCTCTCAAACAACGCCAGGATCTTTCCAACGTCATGGAGATCAGATCGCGTTATGTACTGTTGTGTGTGATAATAATTCTGACAGTTCACGGAATCGGCACGGAGAAGGTTCTGGTGGTGCCGCTGGCCGTAGCAGGCAGTCACTGGTTCCCCCTAGCGTCAGTCGGCCAGGCCTTGGCGGGGAGGGGCCACGACGTCACGGTTGTTGTCTCTCAGGACATCGTGGACAAACGTCGCACCGAGAGACCCGAACTGCGGTTTGAGTCGTTCTTTGACCAAGGAAGCCGTTCCAGGGTGGAAGCTAACACAGCTCAGATAGGCGACTTATCAAATAAGTCCGTCTTCCATATGTTTCAACACCTCCAAGAGGGGATGAACTTTATGGCTGAGCACTGTGATCTGCTTCTGGCAGATGCAGACTTGATGGGGAGGCTGAAACAAGCACGTTTTCAGGTTGTCGTATCAGAGCCCTTCTTTTGCTCGTGCGGAGCCATAGTCGCAGTTTACCTTGGTGTCCCCCACGTCGCTCTGCTGCGTGGTGACCCCTCGGGACTTGACGCTCTCGCAACTGGTGTGCCCCGCCCCCCGTCTTATGTACCGTTTCTCATGTCCAGTTTTACCGACCGGATGACTTTCTCACAGCGGGTACAGAACCTTGTCGTGTCGTGTACATCGCCTGTGATGTTTCAGTGGCTCGCGGGACGTATCAATAATGATCTAGTGAATAAGTACCTCGGCGAGGAGGAGACTCTTCTGGGGGTTTTGGCGAAGACGGATGTGTGGCTTTATCAAACCGACGTTTTGCTGGACCTCCCGAGCCCGAGGATGCCTAACATGGTCGACGTCGGAGGGATAAACTCTCACGAGGCCCGTCCACTTTCCGAGGTGCGTGTGAGTGAGTGTGTGCATGCGGTGGGTTGCGCGTGTATGTGCTTGTGTTTTGTGTGTTTGCGGGTGTACATGAATTGTATGAGCGCTCGCGTGTGTAATTGTGTGTGCTTGCGTGTGTCTGTGTTTGTACGTGTATATGTGTTTAGGTGTGTGCGTATGTATGTTTGTGTTTGCGTGCGTGTGTTTATGTGTTGCCGGATACAGCAAATTAGATTACCCGTTACTCTCTGCCAACATATTGGAAGCACGTTTTACCTGTTAAATAATTTGACCCCCTCCTCTCCTTTACAGGATTTAGAGCTGTTCATGCAGAGTTCTGGCGGTGCTGGGGTCGTGGTGGTCAGCTTCGGCTCACATGCCAAGACCATCAACCCTGAAAGGGCAGAGGTCATGGCAGCAGCCTTCGCGCAGCTCCGACAGAAGGTGGTGTGGCGGTACACGGGAGAGAAGCCGGCCGGGCTGGGCAACAACACCAAGCTGATGAGCTGGCTGCCGCAGAACGACTTACTGGGTGGGAAATTGTGACCAGACAACCACGTCTTTATGTACATAATTATACACACATGGCCATGTGCCGAAAGCAAATACACACACTCGTTTGATTAATAGTTAACCAAGCATGCCTCCTATTCAATCTTGTGTGCACAGCGGCACCAATCACACATGTTGACTGTGTATCAGTAATCATAGCCTTCATAAACTCAATGAGAAGCCATAGGTAAACATTTAAATAATCACAAGGCAAAGGTCAATAATTGTATAATGGTGCCTGAAATTTTGTGGTGCCCATGATATTTTCATTATATTGAATCATATAGGGCATATCTGCTGGGTTCCACAGAACTTGATAGGCCAAAAATCGAGTTATAGAAAGCATGCTCTGTGTCATAACTAAATATGTGTGTTTTGGTACCTCAAGTTTCGTAAAATTCAAGTCTAACCAACCAAAAGGAAAGTTTGAGACACCACTAAGTCTGTAAGGTCTACCGAACGTGTTTTTAATTATTTCCCAACAACAACTTTTAACGAACAATGGCTTATCCTACACTTGTCATTTTTCAGGCCATCCGAAAACCAAAGCCTTCGTCACCCATACGGGCTCTAACGGTATGTTCGAGGCCCTGTACCACGGGGTGCCCATGGTCTGTACACCGCTGGCTGCGGAACAGCCCGGCAACGCGGCTAGGGTAGTCTCCAGAGGGCTGGGAGTGAGGCTGGACTTCAGCACGTTTACAACAGAAACATTGTACCAGGCCATTGTGCAGATTCTAACTGACAAAAGGTGTGTTTGTGCATATATCAGGGTACCCTAACGTTGTCCAATGACAAGTGCGTTAATTTACATTGTTAGCAAAATGCATCGCTGTAAATAACCAATAGGGAGCCCTATTGTAGGAGTGAAAAAATATTACCCAAACGTGAAAAAAGAACTGTATTTGAAAATCAACCAGGCAACAATAGTAGCTATTCTTGCCCCATTGAACGCCTGTCTGTACCATATTAAAACTGTCCTTGGTGCTGAAAGATACTCAACAGAATATCTACAGATTAGCCTTTTTTATTCAGGAGCTTGCCATTCCCAGAATGCATAGCGCCTGGGTGTCATTTGCATATTGCAGGTATCCTGTTGACGTTATACAGCTTGTTTTAACGTGTGTTTTGAGGCATTTTATGCCCAACATTGATTATGGTTCGAATCTGACAACAAATGGAAAATAAACTTTGTGTGTTATTTTTAACATGGAACACGCTGTTTGTAACGTTACAATCCTTCTATATTGACAGACAGTATAGTGTTATCACAGTAACGTTACAAATCACATGTTCCATGGTAAAAAGAACACCAAAATTTCATCCTCTATTTGTTTTAATATTCAACCCGTAGTAAGTTTATTAATGTCGAGCATGAAATGACCCAAAACCTCAAAACACACGAAAAAACAAGTTGTATAACGTCAACAGGATACCTTCTTGCGATATGCAAATGCACCCAGACGCTATGCATTCTGGGAATGGGAAACTCGTGAATTGAAATTGATACATTTTTCGCAAATTTATTGATCGGATTGTTGATCTGATGACAATCATTTTAAACAAGAATAACCAGAACGCTTGTCCTTGTTTGTCCGATACTAGCTACCGTGAGACGGCAGCCCGCCTGTCCCGTCTGCACCGTGACCAGCCCCAGTCACCCATGGAGCGGGCCGTCTGGTGGATAGAACACGTCATCAAACATGGCGGCCTGCCCCATCTCCGCGCACGCGCCGTGGAGCTGCCGTGGTACCAGTACTACCTGCTGGACGTGGCTGCCTTCCTGTTGGCCGTCTGTTCAGCTGTTCTTGTGCTCATCTGGTGCAGCTGTTCTCTCGTCTGTAGAAAGATTTGCCTTAAAAGTAGCGGGAAGCTGAAGTCTCAGTAGTCTAAAGGATCCTAGAAATTGTACCGCTGCCGCTCAGTTAGCACTGCCTGCTATATGTAATGTAATGTTTATGTTAGGTTTGTATGAATAGAATGAATGAATAAACTTAATTGATTGCACAGCAAATTACAATGGTACAATGCGTGGCAAACACCACCCCCACACAGGCAAACATGCCTCGCCCATGGTACTGAACACTGCACGAAAAAGACACCTGCCCTTGGTACTGAACACCATCCACACACTGGCAAACATGCCTGTCCTTGGTACTGAATACCATCCACATACAGGCAAGCATGTCTGTCCTTGGTATTGAACACCATCCACACAGAGAAAAACATGCCTGTCCTTGTACTAAACACTATCCACACACAAACACACCTATCCTTGGTACTGAACACTATCCACACACAAACACACCTGTCCTTGGTACTGAACACCATCCACATACAGGCAAACATGCCTGTCCTTGGTACTGAACACCATCCACACACTGAAAACATGCCTGTCCTTGGTTCTGAATACCATCCACATACAGGCAAACATGTCTGTCCTTGGTACTGAACGCCATCCACAAACAGGTAAACATGTCTGTCCTTTGTTCTGAATACCATCCACATACAGGCAAACATGTCTGTCCTTGGTACTGAAACACCATCCACAAACAGGCAAACATGCCTATCCTAGGTACTGAACACCATCCACACACAGAGAAATATGCCTGTCCATGGCAATGAACACCACTCACACAGTTTCTATTCCACTAAAAACGATAGACCCAGTGCATGGTAGTTTATGAATTGTTTATTTGTGATAAACGTAATTTGAGTACAGAATATACAGAGGAAATATGTACGCCACCAGTGTTCTGAACTGCTTAAATGTTGCAAATAAAAACATGTAGGCAAATAAAGGCCAGCCGTTCCCTTTAAACAGACAGTAAATAGTTCTATTAATTTAACAAATGATGTTAGAGGGACATCTACAGAATTTATCCCGTGAAATTGATATATATTTATTTATTTAATCTCAAGACGGCTGGGTGGCCCCATTCAGCCTACAATGGCTGTTTTCAAAGGGTGCCCAGCTTGTTATAGGACAAGGTTACATGCAGTAAAACAGTAGTTATGATTTTGAAACGAGCTCGTGGGACCTTTTATTTAAAGTACCATTTCTTACTACAAAGGAATGAAAACTCCGATCTATGCAATGGACAATTCTTCATAACATTTACCCAACAAGATTAACATACATAGGCAAGGTATAGTAGAAAGTAGTAATTGTATTCCCTGTAACGTAATAGATTATATCGAGCATTTTTTCTTCGACTATAAAAGTATCAAACCTTTGTGGCTTCTTATGTACATGACGTTAAGTTTGGTTATTGTTCTACTAAAGTGTTGAAATTTAGATATATAAACAACTTGATATTAGTAGCAAAATACACGATTTGTCGTTGTAAGTACGGAACGAAGTCCACAGGAAATATTTTTATTTTTTCGACAGAGACTTATCATTGAGGTCAGTTGTATAACTTAAAATTAGGTACTTACTATGATGTATTATTATTATGATATTTGATTGGATGATGTGGAGTTCTGATAATTGTTAATGCTGATTACTATGTATTATGATGGTGGTTATTATGTCATATTAATAAAATTCATCTTAAAAAAACATCAAAACATAAAAGTCCAATGCGTCGAAAACAAACTCATAATCCAATACTCAAAGGTCTCAGTCATTCCATTTATGATTAGTATGATGATAAGAGTGCTATCAGCCGTCACGCCACGTACTAAATCGAACGCGTTTCGAACCGTTTTTATTTGCAGTTCGAATCGATCCGCGATCCCTAGCAACGCCGTTGCTAAGGAAACTCTTTTCGCGCGGCAGTTGGATGAAATTTCATCCGACTTTTACAGCTGCGTTGAGCCTGGTTTGTGGCATATTTACCTTCGTTGCGTTACATGTACCAGACGGGAATGCCATGTACTCTTGACATGATCAATTTTTGGAGGGTTTTATAACGTATTTTGTTAGATAAATGGTCATATTTGCTTAACAGTGAAATCGTCAAAATGGCGGTGCCGAACTGAGCTAAATTTTCGACGAAATTCACATTGGGGGCATTTGCATGTCGCCCTCGATTCTGTCTTATATGACCATTAAGTAAGATTCGTTGAATCTTTGACTATGTCTCTTGTGAAAATCTTGTTGGATCAAAATCTGGAAATGCTTGTATATTCATATCTACCGGGGCCACGTCCTCGGCCGTTTTACGCCAAAAGTTCTAAAACGTTGGTTTAGTTGATTCTAGGGCAACCGGCGTTTTAGCACAAGTTGCGGTACTAATGTACCTTCTCAATATTGTCAAAGAATGCCTACAGACACAGACTACGTAAGTACGAACTGAATCAGCAAATGCTTTCTTACTCTTGCAGGTATTATTACTAAAATCCAACGGTGCGGGTCTGGCGTCTGCTCTGTGGAATGCGCTTGAAGCCCGCGCTGTTTTTGGAACGAAAACGACGCCTCTGATGAGGTGGCCTCGCGCGATTACGAAGGAAGCTCATAACGTCCCCAAAAATTGATAACAAATTATATACGGACAGAGAGTAGAGACTTCAGGCTATTTTACGCACTAGATTTCTTTTTGTTGTGAAAACTGAAATAAGGTAAAAACATCGGAGGAATTTCCACCAAAATCAAGTGGTTTCAGGTCATATTATCAAACGAGTAGAGGTTAACAATCGTTTTAAAAAGTCACTAGGAGTAAAATAGGAATATTAATATTCACAGATACAATGAAATAATGAAGATATATAGTTATAAACTCAAGCAACAAGCTTTGTAGTAAGAGGTCCCGACTCCCGGGGGTTATAGAACGTAAAATTGTCTCAAAACGGCGCGCGGTTCGCCGTGAGAGTCAATCATAAATCTTAAGGTCAGATTTATATCACTTCGGGTTTGTGAATTGACTTGAAACTCGGAATCCGTACACAGGAGACCAATGTTAACATAATTCCACATGAAAATTTACGTTCTACGGAGCGAGGACCTGTCCAGCGTAGGTGATAACTAAAAATGTCAAACCGGGCTCGTTCTATTCTGGAATCAAAATTATGACATGACCTCGCGCGTTTTTGGGGGCATCTGCATGTCGCCCTCGAAATCGATAACAAGTTATATATCAACACAAACTAGAATCTTTGCTCTTTCATACACACTAGATTTCCTGTTGGATCAAAATCTACAACAAGTTAGAAATGAGAAGGGGAATTCCACGAAAATTACCTGCTTTCGGGTCAAATTCTTGAAAGGATCACGGTATGCCATTGCTTCAAAAATGTATAGGAGTAACAAATGAAGCTTACACATTATCAATAAGTTAAAGTTAGGAAGATAAATGATTGCAGACCTCAGCTACAAGCTTTCAGGTAAGGCTTGTCGGCCCCCGAAATCATGGAACGGACTACTTTCTTTCGCGGAAGGAAAATAAAACTGCCTCGAACTCTCGACGTGGCGTGGCGGCTGCTATCAGCAGCTAAAGCTCTAAACGTTCTACGGGTACGTTTAATTGATTAGAATATTGACACAAAGGAAGCAGATTAAAAAACAACTGCAATACCCCCCCCCCCAACGTCTTGTCACGACAAAACGATGCCGTTTATCTTCCGTTTCTGACCGGCTGTCAGCACTCATTGCTCCATCTGTGTGACTTCTATTAAAAGAAAAATATGTGGTTAGTAACAACTAACTCTACTTGTTGTGAAAAGAAATGAGAAGGATGTAGTTGTGTCTTCTTGTAGAATTGGAATGTTAAAGATGGCAAAAAATGATAGAACAGCGTCGAAGAAAGCAATGTCATATTTACCTTTGGATTCTGACAAACTGTCATCACTCTTCGCTTTCTCCATCTTTGCTAACTCTAAAAGGAAAAAAAAAGATACGAAAGTTACTAAACGTCTAATGTCATTTCACAACGACATGGAAAGCATGCAATCATATTGTGCCTTCTTGAAATAATTGGAATCTTCAAGATGAGGAAATATATCTTTTAAATGTGTAGAATGATTTACTCGTAGAAAATCTTACCCGGAAAATTAGTCTTCAGACCATCAACGACGTCCTGTAGTCCCGCTTTAGAGAGGCACTCCAGCAGAACGTCTATCGTAGCGTCGTCTCCTCGCCTCTGGTGCCAGTGGTTTAACATGTCCATGCAGCGAGACTTGTCGTCACGGTTCCTGCCGGCGACGTTTTCAAGTGTTGCGTCGTCGAACTCATCCAGGTCCAGAAAGAAAGCGAGGTCCTTCCACTTGTAGCTCACCTTTTCTTTGATGAAGTAGAAGTACTTCCGAATACTTGCATTTGTTTCTGGGGAGAGAGAAAGAAAGAGAGGGGGAGAGGGCGAGGGGGGAGGGATAGAGAATTGTTGTTATTTTCAGTATTTGTTATGGTAAATCGTTAAAAAAAACTTTGGCCTTCAATTGCAAACAGTCAATAACACAATGTTACTTTTGTCTAGCTTTTTGCCATATCCTGTATTCAAAACTCAAATTTTTGAGCCGTGAAAACACAAACGTTAAAATGGTGTATAAAACATTTAAAAGAAAAAAATCCAAGAACAAGATAGAGGTGTACCTTTCATGCTAGGGTGGTCAGCAGGGGCTGTATATTGCATTTCTGCAGCTTTGATGGTCATGCTAGGCATCGCCCCTACCTCTTCGACTGAAACTGGAACGATGTTTCCTGAATAAAGACATTTGAAAATTAATCATAGTCTACTTTTGCCATTTGTAAGATTTTGGTGGGGGTTTTGTGAAAAAAAAATCGACGATGTTAAAATCATTCCAAGCCCCCGTCACACATTCTCGAGCCACGTCCACCTTCCGATACTAATCGAAACGATTTTGACATAAAATGGTGTGGAATTGTATGTGCTCGACCCGCCCCAAACACAGTTGACTTACTCCCGTATGTTTGGCAGGTGTTGGTCGAAAACCAGGAAACTATGACCCCCTGGATGCCCCGTGATTGTTTAAAAAATTTTGAAACCTTCGGCTGGAACCGTAGCCGTAAACTCCAGCTGACTTTGCATCGTCCCACTCCTAACCATGGTGGGCAGGCGTTCGGCTAGCGCTCGGGAGGCAAAATTCGTGAATGTGGGACAGGGGCTTATAAGATGAATCAGTACCTGTCACGAGATGATCAGGACCGACACTCTGAGGTGTGAGGTTCAGAGTACAGATCTTCCTCACGCTTGCTCCAAGGAACCTCGACACGGATATCACTGCCTGGCCGGTTAGAATTGCCTCCTCTTTCTCTGGCTCCACAATCAAATCCATTGCCTGCCCTTCGTCTGTCTTGCACGTTGCTCTGTTTATCTGATACGTATCCGCACATCTCTTGACCAAGGCAAGATGCGTAATCTCGACAGATAGCCTCTCTTCATCAAATATGTTGAACTCGGAGGTCCTGGCCAGTCCGAACCGCTGGTACATTCTTGGCGTGGACGTTGAGGCGTTGTATCCTTCTTTGCAAACGATTGTGAGAGGATGTTTCTTCCCAGATATCTTTCCAACGTACGGGGTAAAGCTGCATGGGAATGACTTGCCATTTAAGCAGTCAAGGAGCCGTTTGCTTGCTGACGATAGGGCCACAGAACTTATGACGGCGACCAGGATGTATATGCTAAAGTGTTACAGTTTAAACAACACGTTTGAGGCAGAACGCTTTACCAAACACTCCTCTGAAAGATCCTTCCATGTGCCTTCAGCCACAGTGGAAGTTTCTTGTCCAAACAAAATAAAATTATGACTCTGAGGAACACGAGTGTTCAAGACTGTCACGTCTACCGGGTTTTGAAACTGCAGATGGTCGGGCTGACATTCGATTAGTCGGAAACAAGACAAAATGTCGTCAAGTCCGGATTTCCGAATCATCGTCAAGTAGCTCGATGACTTTTGTAGCCTTATACTGATATCCTTCACTTCTCGCAGGCTGTTAGCTGGTATGAATAGATGAATGTCACGTTCTTTGATAAGACCGCCTTCTGATCCAATGGCTTCTGCAATTGGAAATTCAACAGTGCAAAACAGTGTCGCATTATTTACTCTACTACGTATGTACAATGGCCATCATGCAACTCTCCTTGGCAAACTCTCCAGGCTCTTAGGACACACCCTTAACTTTACAGCTCTTTTTGCTCCCTGGCAGTTCCTTGAATTCATCCGTTGCCAATTCAAAAATTTTGCTCTTTCACTCAGCAATTCATTGACGCAAGAAAACGGTCATAAAACTCAAATTTCCCTTCTATTTTGCATTGTGTATTGTATTATTTCTTGGGTGAGGAATTGGTTTGTTTTTTTATTACGTTGTGTACTGCATTTATGAATTTCGAGCTTTTATGTGTTTTGTTATGTGTAAGTCGTAGCGTTAAAAAAGTCCTTGTTACTTGAGTGCGCTACCACTTTGTGCTGTATTACGTTCCTCAATGTGTGAATTTATAAAAGAAATTAAGAAATTCGACTGAACAGTCTGAAGTAGCAAAAGTGGCTTTTGAAATACCTGGAGATGACAGGGGCCGGGGGTCAACTGTAGCCGTCACCTACAGCGAAAAAGTTGAAATAGGTAATCATGTTTTACCATCATTGACATTTTATTATCTAGTAGTATGTGGCATGTGGTCTAACACAAATTTCTGATATAAAACATATGCCAAAAATCTGTGTGACAGGGTAAATATTTAAGGCATGGAGTAACCAAGCATTAGGCATTCTTAAGTATATCAATATATAGCTGAGATGTTATTGGGAAACAAAGGGTTTCTGAAAACTGCTAAAAGTCTCACGAGACTTTAATTTTGTAGATGGAAGTGGTTGTGTGTTATACATAGCTGAAAATAGAATTGACTTAGTAGAATTGAATTATTTTTTCATCTGTGACCCCTCACCTTTTTAACCTGAACGTTAGCTACATGTTTCAGATTATCCGTGTGTTGCCTATAATCTTCTCTTAATTTTATAGCTAAATGTGTTTTTGACTTTTCAGTTAAAATCAGACTGTTGTGTCCCACGCTACACGTTCACATCCCAATGCTCTTTTCCAGCTACATGTCTGAAATTTTTTTCGTCATTTGACGAAATTTTAGTTAAAAAGTAAAGTAGTTTACTTACTGTGACTAGGCTGCATGTACTGTTGTCACACTGCTTTACTTACCTGGCCTTTGTAGGAGCGCGGCAAAGCAATATCATCAAATCCACCATCAAGGGCTGAAAAGATGAAACATGTAATAATGTTTTTGTCAACTACAAACTAGGATAGACAGGAGGATTCATAAGTATTCAATATATTTGATTGATGCTCCGTCTTTGATTAGAAAGTGACAATCAGCATTTTCTTTCAAAAATCGGAGTCTTATCTCCCTGAATGAATTATTGCTTTTGGGGAATATCTCTATGTGCTAACAACACACTCATATCTTCCCCGTCAGTTTTCCCACCTAGCTATCTTTTGGATAATATCTGTGTTCCCCACACACTCAGATGTTCCCTTTTCCCAGCTAGATTTAGGGATTGTCTCTGTGATCATGACTTACACACTCACATATTCCATTTCTATGGCTACATTCTTGAGGTTCTATCTGTATGCGACCAAGAAGCCTTGATGTGATCTACACACACATAGTCCCCAAGAGCCAGACAGATGGGGCTATCTTTGTATTACGAATATTCAAAATGAATACGATGGCTCTGGCACTGCCTTCACTTACCTACAGGCGGGCTCCAGTCCACAAAAGTGACAAACAGTCATCAAGATTTATGCGGCAGACATATCCGGAATTGCAGAGTCGATTTCGATTGAACACGACATTGTGGAAGGCAATACCCACGTAAAAACATTTTGTTGTGTACTTTCTTAAATGTACAACAGCGCGTTTATCAAACCAAATATACGCAACAATAGTCGGCTTGATGTTGATGACAGTATAATCATACCTTGTGGCGTAGATAAAGATGAGTTATGATAATGTAACGATGCTAAGGTTTCAATTCCCAACCCGAACCCAGCCGGGTAGTTTACGGGAATGAAAAGCACAAGGGCCGAAAAACTAACCATGAGCACATTTTCAAACCGGGGTGCGAACGGGTTGTTAACGTGAACGAAAATGAACAAATTCTTTTTTTTTTATATATCATACGTGTACTTTAAGTTCCCCTGGCCAGGCACCGAGTTGGGAATTATGATCTAAGCATTACCTTGGCGCAGGTCCAGCAGGTATTCGTCGTCATAATCTGTAATGATAAAAGTACAAAAACTAAACATTTTCACCTGTTCCTATTTCTCAACCAGTGCAGTCTCGCTTGACTGTTTTTCTGTTATGTCACCCGGATTTCTGTTGTTACAGTATGAGGAGTTCGAAGACAAACTTATAGGTATCAAGAGTTATAAGGCAGGCATATCCGGAATGGCAGAGTCGATTGAACGCGGTATTTTGGAGGCAACAGCGTTTATCAAACCCATTACACCCAACAATAGTCGGCTTAATGTTGATGACAGTATGATCATACCTGGTGGAGTGAATAAAGATGAATTATTATTATGATAATGTACTGATGCTAAGGTCACAATTCGCAACCCGGAACACAGCCTGGCAGTTTACGGGAATGACAAGTAAAAGAGTTGAAAAACAAACCATGAGCACTAGTTTCATTTCATTCCATTTTGTGTATATCATTGGATTGTTTGGATCTTTGAAAAGTAAAAGAGTTGAAAAACTAACCATGAGCACTATTTTAATTTCAATCTATTTTGTATACAACATTGAATTGTTTGAATCGTTGCAAACAGCTCAGCTAGGCGCCGTTTTGGAAATTTTGACCTTAGCATAGCCAGGGTAAAGTTGTTTTTCATTTCATTTCATTTGAATTTTCATAAGGGGGCGACATACAAAGTTCCTTTTAGCCTGAAGAAAACTGCTGTGCATTCTGGACCCCAAACCACAACTAAGAATGCTTGCCCAGCAAAAATTGAAGCTTTTCATCTCAATTTGTAGTTTTGAACAAGAATGTAAAATGTCTAGAAACAATGGGAATACACCTGTGACTACACACACACAAATACACGCAAATGCATTATGAAAGATACATATTCCTTGAAAATAGTAGAATACAAACCATTAACACACGCTACCAAAAGGCAAAACAATAGGAGTCATGGCAAAAGTAAAAAATGGGTACTCTGACATGAAGATTGCAGATTGGCGGTCTTCTGACATGAAGAATCGGGGTCAAAATTTCTTTCAATTTGAGGAAAACTTGACTCCCGTACCGCAGCTGAAACTGCTTATTGACCATCAAGCAGGTTGTTTATCCTGAGGCTCGTACTTAAAAAAAATGTAAAAATACGTTGAAACCATGGAAGCAAGTCTGAGAGTACCTATAGTTACATATTTTTGCGAATAAATATCGATGTGTACTACACATCCGTAGTTGATAAGCCTTACCTTCACCAATAATATTAGCATTGACATTTACATTTTCGTAGACAGGTAGGTCATCCCCTGAAAATGATAAAACACAAAGTGTTTTCAGTAAGTATGTGCATGCATTAAGCCCACATTCACGTGATTGACATTATGCATGGCAAATTGGTCAATTGCACAAAAGCATATTGCAGCCTGGCGGCTGAATTGCACGCTCATTTACAATGGAATAACAAATTTGACTGAAATTCTAAAACAAGTACAATAATTCTAAAATCACTAATTGTAGCAGTGTGCAACAAATCTTAAGTCCCACTAAAAGTAGTATTTCAACAATATGTAGTTATACAAAGTTAGTCGACTTATGATAACTTGTAGATGATTTGTCTGGGGGAGGTCTCAGTACATTAGGTAAGGCCATGTTGATTTGATTATATGGATGACATCCGCGCGCGCATGAATTTTCGGCTCGTTACTACTGAGAGTCATTACTGTAGTAGAGTCTTAAAGCTCGTGGTATAAATGACCTGCATGTCTTTAATCATCGCATGCTACAAAAACAACAGAAGTCTTGGTGGAAGTAAATAATGGAGACACTGATATCTACCATATATCTACCGTATATTGACCATCAATCGGGTTTTTTATCTTCGTACTTTTCAACAAAAACAACAAGTCTGAGAATACTTATAGTTACATATTTTTACGAATTAAAATCAATATGTACTACACATCCGTAGTTGACAAGCCTTACCTTCACCAATATTTCCGAGGTAATCCTCTGAAACAGATAAAACACAAAGTGTTTTCAGTAATTATGTGTATTAAGCCCATATTTACATAATTGACATTATACTGGTCTTTAATCATCGCATGCTACAAAAACAATAGCAGTCTTGGTGGAAGTAAATAATGGAGACACTGATATCTACCATATATGTACCGTATATTGACCATCAATCAGGTTTTTTTATCTTCGTACTTTTCAACAAAAACAACAAGTCTGAGAATAATTATAGTTACATATTTTTGCGAATAAAAATCAATAGGTACTACACATCTATAGTTGATAAGCCTTACCTTCACCAATAACATTATCATTTTCATTCAGGTAGACAGGACCACGCCCTGAAAAAAATCAAACACAAAATGTCCCTATGAATTATGTACATTAGTGCCACATTTACATAATTTACATTATGCTTGTCTTTATCATCGCATGCTGCCAAAACAATAGCACTAGCAGTCTTGGCGAATGTAAATAATGTAGACACTTACATATTCAAAGACGACTGTTTTAGATTCGAATACTTCGAATATAGCTGAGAAAAAGTCTATACGGTGGATCTTGATAAAAAATCTACAGGCTTTCTATATTCAACTTTGGGACTATCTTTGGTGGCATTTTATCCCGCTCAAGTGTAAAAGTGTTATATTTCTTTCATTACGAATTTACTACTGCTGTGTGTGCTATCGCACTAACTTCCCTATATTAAGCACGGTGATACTGAGGTCACATTTCCAAACCGAGCAGGGGCTGGCTGTTTATGAGCAAATATGAACAGTTCATGTTTTTTTTTTTAATATCATACATGTACTTTAAGTTCCCGCAACCTGCCCGGCCGGGCCCCGAATTGGGAATAAGGACCTAAGCATTACAGTATCTAACCAGCCGCTGTCACTGTCTCAGGTGCCTTCAAAATCTGTAACGATAGAAGTGTTTTGTTCCTATCTCCCAATCAGTTCAGTTGTAGATGCCTTATATCTAGGTGATGTTTTCTTGCGTTACCCGTATTTATGTTGTTATAGTATAAAGAGTTTGAAGACGTCTAGACAAACAAATGTTTATCAAGATTTATATCACAGGCATATACGGAATAGCAGAACCAATAGGACGCGATATGTTTGGTGAAATAAGCTCTGTTTGACCTACTCTCTCACACGGTCCCTTTTTCTTTGAAATTTCTGTGTCACACACACGCACACACAGTGTTCTACAGTGACTTTAGCTACAAATAAAGCTTTCTTTGTATCACGAATAGGCTTTGTTAAAGGTCAGACTGTTGTGTTACATACCATCGACATTGTACCGGGTTCTGCCTCCGTATCCTTCAAGGCCTGGAGCTGTAATTACAAAAGTGACAAAGTAGTTATCAAGATTTATACCCTGACATATCCGGAATGTGCCAGTCAATTGAACGCGGTATTTGGGAGGCAAAATACTAGTAAACACTTCTGAACTTTACAATGGCAGTAAATAAAAGTCAAGTGTGGTGATACCGGACTTAACAAGGGTTGTGGAGGTTGTGAAGAACTTTTCGTGAAGTGTATAATCATACCTGGTGACGTACGTATAGATGACTTATGATCATGCACTGATGCTACGGTCGGACAGAAAGTAAACGAGTGGAAAAAGAACTAACCATGAGTACTACGCGTCCGTATTTGATAAGCCTTACCTTCATCAATTACATCAGTATTTACATTTTGGTTGACAGAAACATCCCCTGAAAATAATGAAATACGAAGTTGTCATTAACTATGTACATTAAGCCCACATTTATAGAATTTACGTTATGCTTGTCTTTATCATCGCATTATATCTAGGCAGGATTTTTTTGCTTAAGAATTGGAAAAAGAAAAGCAACAAAGGACGGACAAAAGTCGGACACTTGACATCTCATAGTTATAGTTGGCATTAGTTAGCAAAATTACGGAAGAACGAAGAAGATGAGAAAGAATTTGTATAGCTCTACCTTCCGTATCTCGTTGTCGTCTTCTGCAAGGCAGCGCGCATTTGCTGCAGCAACGGCCCATGGCGTATCACCTGATGAAAGCACCAATTGAAATCTCGTAAGCTTATAAGCAAATTTCACATATTTGAAAATTCGATCAAACAGCTGATTTATTAAATAATCTCATTACTTTTGCATGCAGGTTTGCTCCTTATTTTGAATAATTAACCTTTTCATTATGTCAGTCATCTCTAAACGTCACTCAACTACATAGTCAAGTTTACATGGCGACTTACAGGTGTAACCATCCATCATGGCGGAAAGTGCTTACGTCACAGTCACGTGAGTGAAAACAATCATCAATCTATAGCTTAGCTCTGACTACGGTGGGGGGTAACATGTTCAGAGGCCTGGCTAAGACAGTGGCCAAGGCATGTTACTATTCAAGACAGTTTGGAATATATAGACAACAGACACGCAATCGAACTAAGATTATTGTAAGAAGTTAATACAAATGAGGTCATGATTTGAATAAATTATGTTTATTGAGGTTCACCTCCACTTAACTTCCAAATGTGGCAAGTATGAAATTCTCAGCAGTAACAACTATGAGATTATAAAAATTCCCCATTAATTATGCAAATTAGGTCTTCTTTACATAATCTATATCCTCAGATGTTTTTCTTGTTCTCAATTACATGTCACAAGTGTTTCATAGTCCTATTATCGAACAAAACAGATTTGTAGAGTTTCCTAATTAATTTTGCAAATTAGCTCCTGATTTGCATAATTTTCATCTCATTATGTCAAGCATCACTTTAGCTACCTACATACATCACAACAATCTGTCAACCAGTTCTTGAGTCATCCTCCTTCGAAACTTTTCAACAAATGCTCCTGCAGTTCCAGAACAAGCCGATAGGGGACCCAAACTCATGTCACTTCTTCCCTAGCCCAAGAGCTATCTGCCATCCACAATTCGTGACCCTAGTGTGTCCAGATCGTGAGATATCAAAACCGGAAGTTCTGCTGCAGTACCAACAAAAGCCGCCAGGGGGCCCAAAATCTAAACATTTCTAGGTCTTACCCACCTATCAAGTTTTATGACGATGCATATAAAGCTTCTTGAGTTATGCTGTTCACAAACAGACGTACAAACTGTCTGTTTGTGCTTCTGAAAACATAACCTTCTTGGCGAAGGTGATGAACCGAAGCCGCAGCCGCCATTTTGTCTCACCAAACTTTCCCCTCCGGTGATCGCTGCACTTTCGCCATCCATTTTTAACAATCTCACCTTAACGTTATTCTATACATATGTAACGTTATATCCGATAGAACGTCCTTGATATAACAAGATAAATTTATGGTTTAAAAGAACGCCATATCAGGTGCACAGTCTTACTTTTAAACCATAAATTTATCTCGTTATATCATGGACGTTCTATCAGATACTCATCGGTTATTTGGGGCTATACTTTGTGGGGTTTATGTACCTCAGAAAAAAAAACCGATATAGAGCAGGGATATCACTGCACGAAAAGTTGGATTTACCAAAGATTATAAACTCAGGTAATGTTGACTATGTACACAGTATCTGGCTTTACAATGGTAGTGAATAAAGGTCAATCGCAGCAATTTCCTTTACAACCGTTAAAAGTCCTGTATTATCGTACTTGACTTATTTACTGGCATTGTAAAGTTCAGAAGTGTTTATTAGGAAAAAAACAAAGTAAACATTACCCAACTATACTGCTCCGGTAAATCTAAGTTTTCGTGCAGTGGATAGCCTGTCTGAGAACCATGCCCAGACACAGTTATGGATATTCCACACGTATCAGATCGTGCCCCAGGGGCAAATCTATCTTCATGGATACGCAGACTATACATGAACCGTATACCTGATATCCTAATTACTATACACATATATAAACCCGAGTAGAACTTAACTATGATAGGCATGGTTATAGGTAGCTAGTGACACACATAAGTTACAAACTAATAAGATTTAAATGCAACAAACAGCAGGATTAGAAGTTGCAGGTCTTCCCTTGTGACGCCATTGTTGCCGTAACTCGGGGCTAATTTTCCTACAAAGTTTAACCCAAGTTTGCAACGTACTGTGAAGTACCTCGTTCGGCGAAGTCAGTCACGGAAACGTAGGCGTCTTTCGGAATGCACCACGTACCAAATCCCTTGTCACTTTTGCCCTTTTGGTCAGGCACTCGCACGGGTACTCGGTAAAGATGGGGCCTTTAACCAGCGTAGAAGTCACATACACACTTCTTAATGTTTGCGCGGGTCAAAAAGATCTTGGGCTGACTTCCTCTTTTGACGCAAATGATCGTCTGACGTCATGGGGTTTCCCAACTACAACACTGTAGTGGGTGGATCGGAGTCAAGTTTCTTCCACCCACGCTACTATGTCCATATAGGTCCAGCAAAGCATATATATACACCAAATGTACATGCAAACTTTGCAAGGTCGTGTATTTATTTATATGCATTTTCAGTGAGATAGCCGTAGGGTGTCGTCTGTCAAGTATCACTTTAATGACTTTAATACCGCTACCTACGTTCACATATATGACGATCCGTCAGCCGGTGGCGGGTCCTCACCCTGAATGATTTCAGAAGGAAATGCCCTGCAGTTCCAGACCTAGCCGTGGCGACTCTTGATTCGGGCTTACATTGTAAGCCCGACTCAAGAGTCGCCACGGCTATTCCAGACCAAGCTAGGGGACCAAAACTAATGTCACTTCTTCCCTAGCCCAAGAGCTATCTAACTTATCTAACCATCCAAAATTCGTGACCCAGTACTGGCAGTAGCATGTCCAGATCACGAGGTATCAAAACCAGAAATGCTGCTTCAGTACCAAGGAAAGCCGCCAGGGCAGTACTAGTTCAAAAACTAAATATGAAAGACAGCAGCTAAAGGCGATAACTATATTGTCCAGAAATATTTGCTATTTTAATTTTATATTTTTCTACACTCTTCTAGTTTCATAAGAATGAGTGTACATGGGAGGAGAAGTAAAGCACTGGTCTCTCCAATCCAACCGTGATTCTAATTTTCTGCTCACTGGATACGTTTGGATGCGATTCCGTGACCTCTAACCTCCAGCAGGTGTGCCAACATGGCGTCAGGAAGAAGTTGGGAAACACGGAAAAATTTCTCCGCGTCTTTTGCCGAGCCTTCTCTCAGATAACCTCGTCAAAAACGACGTGGCATAAAATCTACATCTTTTCAGTTGCATCTGCGTTAAATTCTGACAGGAAGTGGGGCCAAAATGAGGAGAAAAACGCGGAAACTGTTGACGTATGTGGTAGGCGTCGGTTTGCTGGTGTTGTTGATCACACAGCTGGTCCGGTATCGGCAGGAAAAGGTCGCGGCCTCCCGCCGAAAACACAGAGAATCGGTGAGTAGACACTGTGTTTGTACGCCTACATAGCCACGAAAAAAAAACAGACAGTTAGCTATAGCCTTAGCATCATTATAGCTTCTGTAATGTTAAGTTTAGAATGACTTGTAGACTAGAGGTCACAACCTCAAGTTGAAAGTTCCTTTAGCAAGATCCAGGGTTAGGGCGCAGGGGTTCAGTGTCAGAACAATCAAAAACTGGAATTCTCTGCCTCAAGAAGTAGTAGCAGCAGAAACTGTTAATCAGTTCAAAAGCAGACTTGACAGTCACTGGGAGAAGCGAAGGTATGCAACCGAGTGAGCAGAGATCAGGACATAACAGGCCACGGCCTTCTTTCCTGGAAGACGTATCAAGGTATCAAGGTATCAAGAATCATATGCACGATCGTGAAAGTCTAATCGCAAACAACATCTACAAACTAAATATATCTGTCATAAAATATGTGTTTTACTCAACGATAGTTGCTTGTAAACATACGACACTGTGACATTTAATTGAAAGACATATCACCAGCCAGGCACTATAACTGTAGCTATGCCATGACTTGGACACGTTGCGTGTTAATGTATACATCCGGCCCTGAGTGCTGTGTAAACAAACGTCACTTCCCTCTTGCTGTAACTTATCCATTAATCGATTTTAGTCTTAGTTTGCTGCATCAAGATAGTGGAGTCAGGTTTTATGCTAAATGTTCAAGAGAAGTTTTCTTACATTTCCTCACTAATAAAACTAAAATAAAGCCTCAAAAGTTTATTCAAATCAATCAAGATAAAAGATAAAAGTAAATACATGTAGTACATGAATTGCATTTATGTTACATCTTATGAATAAGAAAAAACACAGGGCAAGTACAATACATATGGGTACATGTGCATTGCACGCAGCATGCATATGTCTAGGTCATGAGATATCAAAACTGGAAGTTCTGCTGCAGTACCATAACAAGCCGCCAGGGGGCCCAAAATCTAAACATTTTTAGGTCTCATAAAGGCCTACCCACCTACCATGTTTCATGACAATTTGTCTTATTCTTAGCCTTCTTGATTTATCCTGCTTACAGACACACACACACACGAACACTGCCGAAAACACAACCTTCTTGGTGGAGGTAATAACTAATAATCTTATACAACAAGGACTTTATTATTTTTTTTAAATATATAGATGTCAAGAATATACAGTAGACTAGTATACATTAGATATCTTAAGATATCTCATATGTAAATGTACGAAAATATTTGGGTGCACTGGTGCACCCATAGAAAAAAATTAGGTACACAGCTCCAATTTTCAGGTGCACTAAGGCACATGCACCCAGTATTTCGAGTCCTGCTATTGTACATGTGTTTTGTACATACAGATCATGTAAATTAATGGACGAAAGAGTTTCACTAAACATATTGAATTTATGTATGAATTAAGTTATATTAGATCTTATTTATCATGACAACAATTAAGACAAGCTGAATTGCTGTGACATCCAAGGGTTTTTTGTAGGATGAAAATTTTGTTACTCATTTATTAATTTGTAGATGCTCCACCAGGAAGAGAAGAAATTGTTCCCTAAGCACAAGAAAGGTCTGGAACTGTCAGACGACCTTGACCGAATAGACTGGCATGATCACGTCCTCATTAAACGGGACCAGGAAAGAAGAGGTGGGTGCATTCTCAAATTGTGTAAACAAACAAACAAACAAACAAACAAACAAAATGGGAATAGGAGAGAACTTCACTATGTTGAATCTAAGGATTGAATTTAACAATGTAAGTTCTTAGGAAATAAATAGAAGAATTTGATAGGGGATGGCAGACCTCACCCCTTACTAGTGATGCATACCTAAAGCCAATTTTAGGTTCAGGTCCGGGCTTGTAAGTCCGGACCTAAACCCATGGCATATACAAAATTGCATGTTGGCAACCTTGCAATGTTGTCTGGGTGAAACTTTGGCCACATAACATGGAGGCCGGTACTTGACGATGCCCGATGGCAATGTTTTCTTCATTTTGCAGCAAAGATTTTACAATCTACGGAAGGTTTTAGGTGGTTTGGAAAGAAAAGGGGTTATGTGAAATGGTCTTTTAGGGTAATAAGTTCGGACTCGGTTCTTGATTTTAGTTTTTTTTGGACATGAACCTAAACATTACCCCTTACCCATAATACCTTGTGCTTTATGAAAGTCCCCAATCAGATGTTTCAGATGGTAGAACTAGTACTACAGTAGGAAATCTTTTCTTGCATCTTCGAACCACAGATTGCATTGCTATAATGCTAACAATTAGCTCCTAATTGCAACCATGGTCTGAAGAACTTTGGGAGACAATAGTTTTGTTTGTTTGTTTCGCATAGCCGGTAAACCACTTTAGGCGTAACACACCAGTTTTGTACATGTGCGTACATGTACAAGCTGCGTAAGACCGGACTGTAAGGTTTGGAACCACTCACACCGGGAAGATCCCCTACTCTTTTCAATAAGTGCGGTGGGTTCTTTAACGTGCATGGGGTGTGGCTCTAGATCTCCCAAACACGGGACCTCCATTTAACCTCCTATCCGAGGGACGTCCCTAACCAAAGCTACGTACTCATTTCCACCTGTCAGTGAGTGAAGTGAGGAAATTCGTGTAAAGCGCCTTTCCCAAGGGCACAAGATCGGTGACATCGGCAGGGTTTGAACCCGCGACCTCTGGGGTGTGAGCCGAACGCGCTATCGACTGAGCCACATGACCCCACGCTAAATAGTGGGTTATGTGTGACAGGGGTATAACTTTTGTGTGTAACACTAAATATCCTTTAGGACCAGGTGAACAGGGCAAACCTGTAGACCTAACAGCTGAGGAGAGAGGACCACATGCGTACGAGGAGTGTGGCTTCAACATCAAGGCCAGTAACAAGATCTCAATGGACAGGGCCATACCCGACATCAGGCACCCCAAGTGAGCATACTGGTTTTGTTTTTTGACTTAAGGCCACACCAATTAATTTCTTGGTTGACAGATTTTTCTAGAAAAATAATGGAGCGGGCGGGCGAAAAAATATAAAAATAAAAACAGGCCTAGGCATCCTATTACAGCCCAAAATGGTACGATAGGAGCCATGAAGTCAACACACCAGGCTGGTTCAAAATTTAAACAATGAATTTTGAACTTTTAATGATACCATTGCATTGAAAGTTGGAATCACTGTATCAACTAGGAAGAAAAGGACTGTTTTCAACTGTTCAGGGCAAAATATGAGCATTTTGCAGTTGATTCTAAATTTTTATTTTTATTTGCAAATCAGAAAAAAATGAAGCGGGCAAATCTGTTAACCAAGAAATTAAATTGGTGTGGCCTAAGCTTATAGGGATCATTTTGGTCCCTCTGACGATTGTAACCAAGGTTAGGGGTTTGAATCCCTGGAGCTGAACTGTCAAAGTTATGAAATCAAACCAAAACTCCTAAATAACTTTCACAGTAATAATGGTTACAAATTATTCCTTTTAGAAAGAACATTAAGACTTAGTCTTGTGTCTTGCATGAAGAGAACCACTGGATTGCAGAGGAACTTTAAGAGATAAATGTCAACATACAAAAGCACGAATAGGTGTGAAAAGCTGCGACTTTTGCATCATGGCCCTCAACCAGATATGCAATTATGATAGATACCAGCGTGAGATATCAGGGCTGGAAATACTGGGTGCATGTGCACCTTAGTGCACCCAAATTTGGTGCTGTGCACCCATTTTTTTTTCTGTGGGTGCACTGGTGCATCCAAATCTTTTTGTAGGTATTTTTGTACATATTTACCTTCGCCAAGAAGGTTATGTTTTCAGGGGCGTTCGTGTATGTGTGTGTCTGTCTGTCTGTCTGTCTGTCTGTAAACACGATAACTTAAGAAGGCCTTGATGGATTGTCTTCATACTTGGTAGGTGGGTAGGTCTTGATGAGACCTCAAAATGATTAGATTTTGGACCCCCTAGCGGCTTGTTATGGTACTGCAGCTGAACTTCCGGTTTTGATATCTCATGATCTAGACATGCTATGGTGATGAAATTTGGATGGTAGGTAGCTCTTGTGCTGGGAAAGAAGTGACGTGAGTTTGGGCCCCCTAGCGGCTTGCTCTGGAACTGCATGGATATATTCTTGAAAACATTCAAAAGGGGATAACTCAGGAACCGGTTGACGGATCGTCGTGATTTTTGGTATGTAGGTATCTTACGTGATGCTTAATATAATTATGTGGCAATTATGCAAATATGGATGTAATTTGCATAATTTATGGGGAAATTCTGTAAATCAGCTGCATTCCATGATAGGACAATTGAAGCTTGTGACATTGGTAATTGACCATGAGAGAAACACAGGCAGATATTGATTATGTTAATGATGACTTAATTTGCATAATTAATGAGAAACTTTTATAGTTATGTAATGATAACTGCCTGGAATTTCATACTTATGGTATTTGAAAGTTAAGTTAAGGTGAACATCATTAAACATAATTTATTCAAATCTGGACCTCATTTGCATAATTTATTAGAAAATGCTAGAATGCATTGTTTGTTAATATAAGACTGTCTTTTGGTTGAGATTATGATAAAATGATATAATTCATGAAAATTAGGTTCCTATTTGTTAAATCAGGGGGAATAACCTAATCTATAATTTGTCAGTCATAAAGATTAACATCATTTGGCGAAGGTATGAGATCGGGGAACTCTAGTTAGGTTTTGTTTTATATGGTGCAGCCAAAAAATTTTCTGAGCACCTTAATTTTTAGGCTGGGTGCAGCAGTGCACCTATTCGCAAAAATGAATTTCGAGCCCTGGATATGGTAAATGTAGATCACATCATGTTTATATTCAGTGGCACTCTCATAGAAAAAAAATGAAATATTTTATTATTAATGCCACACAATGAAAACAAGCAATCAGAGATGGCATACTTCACCCCCTTACCAATATGGCTTTGCATCCCTTTGAGTGTCACAGGCCAAAAGAGCAGCATGGAGGACATATAGCAATGCTCCATTGTGAAAGTATAGAAAGTTATTTCTAATCATGATGCCATGTTTTACACTAAACCTCCACTCCCCCATTTTCCCCCCAGCTGTGCCACTAAGAAGTACGTACAGGACCTGCCGGACGTTAGTGTGGTGATTCCGTTCCACAACGAGGGCTGGACAACGCTGCTGCGTACGGTCCACAGCGTGCTAAACCGCTCGCCCGAACAGCTCGTCCATGAGATTATCCTGGTGGACGACTTCAGTGACAGAAGTGAGTGACACAACTGTTTTGGGCGAGACATTGGGGGGGGAAGACAATAGCACATGTTCGAAACACTGCTCACTTTTATATACACATGTAGACTGAAACAACTTTTACTAATATCTATGGACCACTGTCCCAAACTATTGAAAAGCAAACAAGACAATGCTGCTTTATCATTGTATTATTTTGTTTAGAGGGCACTGTGCATTAAGAAGGCAAGTTATGATCATCTAAATTAAAGGTCAGAAACATGTACTACATACATGTACGCAGTATAAAAATCAAAAGTGCCATAATTTAGGGTGAGATATTTCAGAGATCAGAGAGTCACGAGCATCCGTGAACTCTCACGACAAGATGATGAGAGAGTATTATTTACCCATCCCTAAAAACTTAAATGCTAACAATCTGATATTTCATGCACTTTCTAACAAAGTCTTAAATGTTCTTTACTTTTCTCAACAATTCTATTTAGTATACTAGACTATGTGTTTTCTTTTATTTGACCTGAATAGATAATGCTACAGGACTCCGACCAGTGGTTTTAATGCATGGCTTTCCTACTTCCTGAAAAGATTAGAAAATCTTTGAGTCATTTTCTTGCCGTTTTTGCCTCCAGGTCATCTGGGGAAGGAGTTGGAAGACTATGTGGCAAAGTTGAACCCCAAGGTCAGAGTAGTCCGCACCAAGCAGCGGGAGGGGCTGATTCGCACACGGTTGCTAGGCGCCCAGGTCGCCAAGGGAGAGGTGCTCATTTTCCTGGACTCTCACTGCGAGGCCAACGTCAACTGGCTGCCACCCCTGCTAGGTATGGGGAGATGTTTTTTATGTGCTCATTCTTTTATTGACTTTCTCACACATTCGCTCTCTCACTTGATGCAATATCCCAACTTTAAAGCATAAACATAGATTGCAGAGCTTCTGTGATACCGGTACTTATGTTTACCTTTGCAGAAGAGAAACAAAATGTTTTTATGGGTTCACCACACCACGAAGTGGTGGTGAACCCATATTGCTTTTTCTGATGTTTCTTCTTCTCCTCCTCCTCCTCCTTCTCCTGCCATTTTTTAAATGGATTCAGCTTCTTCATTTTAGGGCCTAAGGTCCTGAAATTTGGTATGGAGGTACAGTGGGCAAATACCCCTAGGCGTTTTTTAAATTATTGTGATACAGGCTTTTAGAATGGTTTTATTTGAGTTTTTTGGCTGTGTTATAGCAAATGTATTACTGTGTTAGTGTGCCTTGTTTACCACGTTTGGGCATGAGTCATCACAATGGAATGCAGGGCATCAACCAATAGGCATGCAGCTTTCCTCTATACTTCTTGCTGATTGGCTGTTGGGATTTAACTTGATTAACACCTGCACAGAGCATTTCCACCTGCACAGAGCATTTCTTGCTGATTGGCTGTTGGGATTTAACTTGATTAACACCTGCACAGAGCATTTCCATACTGACAGTATGTCTGTATTCAAGTGTTTTGGTAGGTATTTCAAGCTTTCCTGCTCCAGCATTGGAATGCGGGCATGGACGTTTTTTTTATTTAGAAAATCAACAGTTTGCATTTATGCAATTAAAAATCCTAACCAATAAAGTAGGGAATAGCTATCCAACTGTTGTTTTAGTTGTATTTTACTTCATATTATAGTTATATCAATGTAAATCATTGTTTTCCCTTGTGTTTCTCATTCTTTCCCTGCCATGTCGTAAAATGTGGTGAACCCATCGCTGTATTTGCTCCAAAGCAAATATTGGCCTTTCTAGTTTTGCTCTGTTTCTTCTTCTTCTTCTCCAAACAAAAGGTCAATGTTCTGATTGCTGTCACGATGGTACTGGTGATACGTCGATGAAGGTTACTGGTGATGTTTCAGTAGAAGACACCCTGTGGTGCTGGATTACATTATGTAGCAAGTTGCAGGCGAGATTTGGAGAGGCTGGTCACTTTATAGATAAGCTGGTGTGTTACACCAAAGGGCGGTTATGCCGGCTATACTGATACAGATACAGATATTATGAATGTGTTTAGATAAGTATAAACAGAGCAGTAGTCGGTTGATCTAGACTATATCCATCAGAAGGTAAACATTATGCATTTGCATTGCAAACATCACCTTTCTAGTGCCTAATTACCTCCTTGGTTTCAGAACCCATTGCATTGAACAAGAAGACCATCGTGTGTCCGAACATTGATGTCATTGACAAGGATGACTTCCACTATGAGACCCAGGCTGGGGACGCCATGCGGGGTGCGTTTGACTGGGAGATGTACTACAAGAGGATTCCCATCCCTGACGAGATTAAGAACCCGGACCCGAGCGACCCATTCGAGTAATTGTTTACTGTTAATTGTCACTCATGATTACTTAGTATGCAAATTGATAAATCCTACATACAGTACATGTACCTGTACTGGTACAAAATTCGAATACTGCTTCTCCAAGCATATTATGTCATATAATATACTCTATCCTAGTTCAATCCCCAGGGTTGGACCCATACATGTCCGGACATGCACCCAGACGTTGTGCCCTTGGGAAAGGCACTTAACATGCATTTCCCCCCTCAGTTAGAGGGATCCCAGGCCCTACTAGGGTTTGGGTTGGCGTTAGGAAGAGCATCCAGCCGTAACAAGTAAAATCTGAGATTTTATACCTTATACCGGGCTTTTTATTGTATATTTCTATATGTTGTTTGTTATGTATAGTTGATGGTGTTGAATTTTATGTGTTTAGCGTTCCTGGTTGTGTTAACACAGGTCAACATTTTCATCTGCAGCCCATAACATGTACCCATGAACTTATGAAATTCTATTTAATCTGCCGCAATGAACTCGTAATGCAACTGAGAATGACAACCGGAACCGTTAAATCAGACGTTAAAAATAACGGCTGAAGTAGCAAGCCATCCTTATTGTCACTTCCTCCATTTTCCGCCAATTCTTCGTATAAATCGGGGAAGTAAAGGTCTGAATCCTCGGTAAAAATGCACGCCGAGAACGTCTGAGACCGTATACCGCGGTATTTGTAAGTTAGTAGTCGTAATATACGCCGAAAACATCCAAAACAAAGATTGCGCAAGAGTACGTTGACCCCTGACCCATTGACCGACCCGGAAGTTGCTGCCGATCACGCGTCCTGTGAACGCGTACTAAAAATACCCTCCAAACAACAATTGTTGCGCCTCGCATACAGAAGATGTATGTGCACAACAACAATTGTTGCGCGCCGCAAGACTAAAAATTTATTGAGACCCGTCACCCCTCTGTGCGACTGTGGACGAGACCGACTATATCTGACACACGCAAAAGATCGACGGTCGCGACCCACTTTCTCACTCAAGGGGTGTTCTGGGGCCATCAAAAGGCTCCATTTTCATGCCCGAAAACACATATACAATAAAAACAAAAGAACGTGCATCATCTGCAGCCCGATAGCAAAACATATACCGAGTCTCAAAAGAATCCGTCCACTCAAACGCGAGGAATCGCTGCGAACGTGAAATTCTAAAACTCTCACAAAGCCCTTCCGCGGAAGGATGTCTCCTCCCCCGGAGGCAAAAATCCTGCTTCAAAAAAAGACTTGTACTTGGTGCAAGTACAGTGTACATCTAACCCCCCGCTGGGGAAAAATGATGTTAAATTCGGTTTAAAAATATATATATATATATACATGTACATGTATACATGTATGACATATATGCAGGTGGAATGTTGAGCCATGTTATGTGTTTATGTTTACCTTTGCAGAATGAAACCATATTGTTTGTGCTCTGTTTCTTCTTCTTCTCCATACATAAAAAAGGTCAATGACCTGGACCAGATGGCTGTCACCATGGAAACTGTAGCATCAGACAGGCCTGTGGTGTTGGATTACATTGCAGGACAGTTGGAGGGGTTTTCTAATAGTTTCCAAACCAATGCCTCACTGGGCATTTTCCCTTCCTCCAGGTCCCCTGTTATGGCAGGGGGGCTGTTCGCTGTGGACAGGGAGTATTTTGAAGAGCTGGGGGGGTACGATCCTGGACTGGACATCTGGGGAGGGGAGCAGTACGAACTGTCATTTAAGGTAAGGATGTAATATATATATAATTCTTGTTACATTTAAGATTAGTGATGCATACCTAAACCCAATTTTAGGTTCAGGTCCGGATTCAAGTCCAGAGGTTTAGGTTCACGTCCGGACCTAAACCCATGGCATATACAAAATTGCATGTTGGCAACCTTGCAATGTTGTCTGGAAACTTTGACCACATAACATGGAGGCCAGTACTTGACGATGCCCGATGGCAATGTTTTCTTCATTTTGCAGCAAAGATTTTGCAATCTACGGAAGGTTTTAGGTGGTTTGGAAAGAAAAGGGGTATGTGGAATGGTCTTTTATGGTAATAAGTTCGGACTCGGTTCTTGACTTTTAGGTTTTTTTGGACTTGAACCTAAACATTCTTACAAGTCCGGATCCAAGTCCAGTGAACCGGTATGCATCACTTTTTTTTTTCCGTAAATAATTTCATCAGGTTGGAAGATACTTAGGGTATAGAATTTTCTTCTTACACAACCAGTAAGGTTCTCACCTGCTTACGTTTCGATGTCTATCAGACACTTTCCTCAGAGCCACCTTCTTTGGCGTTAAATAGCGGCGAGTTGCAGAACTCCAGTCAGAAGCTCTGAGGAAGGTGTCTGATAGACATCGAAACGTAAGCAGGTGAGAACCTTACTGATTGTGTAAGAAGAAAATTCTATACCCTAGGTATGCATCACTATTTAAGATATCTACTAGCATAATTCTGCCATATTTACAGCAGTTTGTCAAGTCATTTAGTTCCTGTTACATGTCCATATATGCTTTTCCCCACTTATGCTATGTGTTTTTCATTGTCTCTCTAGTCCTGCTAATAACAAAATATTTCAATTGTAACATAATTATCCTGCCATTATTAACCTTTTATACAGTAGATGTTGTTCCTTTCTTGGCTTGAAGAGAATGCTCAAGATAGATGTGTACCAAGACACTCAGAAGTCAGCAAAATGACAGCACAGTGTGTTAAGTAACGGTAACCTTCCACCTGTGTGTCCAGACATGCCACACTTTTGCAGTTGTAACGGTTTCAATTTGTGACACCTACACCTTCTTATTAAACTCAGATATCCACAACCACTTCACACGCCAATGCAATTATTTAAGGCCATCCAATGCGAAATCGAATATACATCAATTTACAATCACGTACAGGGGCCCAACAATTTGGAACAACCTAAGTAGAACTTTACAAATTAGTCCCTCCTTCACCATTTTCAAAAATCATACTAAAGTAGCTTTCATAAATAACCCCACACATTCCTAATTTTTGTTTATGTTTCCTTGTTTACTACTTTCATTACTACTTTTCATTATTGTAGATAGTATTGTTACTGTATCATATTGTATTCTATTGTTTTGTTTCATTTACCCGTTACCTAAGTTATTTCTTATTTATCCGATTTATTTGAATTGTTAATCACATCCTCCTCATAAGCATTTTATGCTTCCGGCCTCCATGCACTGTTACATTTCATTTATATTTTCTTGTATTTGTATTGTTACATTTTCTTTTAAAGTGCGAAATAAACTGAAACTGATACTGAAATTTGCCCCAGGTGTGGCAGTGTGGAGGGCGGATGGTGGATGCCCCCTGCTCCAGAGTGGGACATGTCTACAGGAAGTTTGTACCTTACAAAGTGCCTGCAGGAGTCAACCTGGGAAAGGTCAGATGTTTGGTTTATTTTAACATTATTCAGACGCCTGACTAATGGAAGGGCTGCTAGAACCATGATGTAGTAAAGCTAGAGTTACTTGTACAAAATGTAGTGGTTAAAATCCTTCCACAATTTCTGTAGTTCTAAGGGGTTTGGGGAGGCCCGGGAATATTTGAATTATTTTGACCCTCTGAAATTGTATTTCCTGCATTTTGAGGGGCAAAATTTTGCTGGTACACTAAGCTTAGTTTAGTTACAGATATCTCTTTCCATATCTTTACACACCAAGTTTTGTCCATCAAAATGACTGACTGGGCAAAATTTTTGTCCATCACTTGAGACAAATTTCATCTGACAAAGGAAAACACTGGGTATGACTTGACCTGGGTTTAAATCTATGACCCCTTGAGTGTCAATCTCCAATATATCCTTTTATGTCATACCTGGGCCGCGATTACGTTCGATACGGGTGTTCCGGCCCATGTGATAACTAGCGGTACGGCCCGGGGGTTCTTAACGCGTACGGCCCGGGCTTTCTAATGTTCCATAGAACGACTCGAACGCGTTTCGCCCTAACCACTTGCACCGCTTTCGAAAATTTGAATACTAAATTTGGACGTTGGGATTGATGTTGATGCATTTTTGGGGTTTAGTGACGCCATATTTTCGCTCATTTTGCATCGGAAGGCGTGTTTTCTTGGGTGGGTATGACATAAATAAAATACAACATGGTGTATCTCCCTCCGGCCTTCGGCGTTGGGCGATCCGACGCCCGGTGGGGCTGGTACCTCTGGCGATATGGAATACACAGTGTTGCATTCTAAATGTACAATGGTCTACTACAGAACTTGAAGAGAGTTGCGGAGGTGTGGATGGACGAGTACAAGGAACACCTGTACAGACGGCGGCCGCACCTGCGACAGACCAACATGGGGGACATCTCTGGACAGCTGCAGCTGCGGGAGAGGTTGAAGTGTAAGCCCTTCAAGTGGTTCATGAAGGTGGTGGCACCTGACATCATCCTGCACTATCCACCTGTGGAACCAGAACCCGCCGCATCAGGAGAGGTACGGACAGTTAGATTGTTGGTAGATGTTTATTACTCCGTGAAGGAGGTCAGGACCTCCGGACGGAGTGTTGTGAGGAGCTGTTTTTTCGTGTTTGCAGCTAGAACACTGGGTTCCCTTTGTGTTATCGGCACGCAATTTTATACGCCGTCTGCGGGCATGCCCATGTTGATGCACGAATGTGTATTTTTGCCATTGCTGTTTTCGCGGTCAATGTAATATTTAAGATGCACCCCTACAATTATGAGGCAAATTGGAATGGTCCAGAAAAACCCGTTGTTTGGAATAACACCCGGTGGGGGGGTGGAACTTCATGCAGACGCAGGGAGGGGTCGATAAGTGGTACCATAGATGTTCGCAGCCAAAACGCATTGTTCCGTACGTAGCATTTCTGTGTAATTTGGCATGTGGTGTGCCATTATGCCCGTGGTGATGCACATCTTTTTATTTTTTTAGGATTTTCCACAAAGTGAAAGGGAAGGCAAAACAGGTGCATACGCACCTTTACAAGTTGCCCTCCCCTAAACAAAAAACACATTATCAAATTTACATAATCAAAGACAGCAATGTATAAAGGTACACAAAACAGAGGATAAATTAATAAGTTGAGCATGATTAAAAAATATAATTGGAATTTGCAGGAAAAAAAACACTGAAATGTTTTCTTTCACACACAATGTTAGCATTCTATTGTCAGAAACTACTGTACTTTAGTATTAGGGTTTACCAGGAGTTTTAGGTTTCCTTTAATGTCTATAATTAGGAGTTGCACTACAAAGACATACTACCTTACTTGAATACTTATGTCTGTATGTATTTATGTTAATTGTTTTCCTTGGATCTGATATCAGATTAATTTACTTACAGGAAACAGTTTGCTTATTTATTGTCATATGTTTAGATTCATAAAAAGGCCTCTAACCTAGCTATTGCCAGAATATGTTTACAAAAATCATTTATTTATGTTTATTGGTTATTGTTTTTCCCAGATTCGGAACAAGGCTTCCAACCTGTGTATTGACAGTAAACATGGGGGAGCGCAGGCAGAGGTGAGACTGGACCAGTGTGTGAAGGGAGGAGGAATAATGAACGGGGAACAGGTTTGTACATTTCCAAAAATAATTTCATCAGGTTGGTAGAACTTAGGAGACAGGTATTTCTTTTTACACAACCGGTAAATTCTCACCTTGCTGACGTTTCGGTATCTGTCAGACACCTTCTTCAGAGCTTCTGACTGGAGTACTGCATCTCGCCGCTATAAAAGCGCCACCTACATTGGCTACATATAGCGGCAAGATGCAGTACTCCAGATCAGAAGCTCTGAAGAAGGTGTCTGTCTGACAGACACCGAAACGTCAGCAAGGTGAGAATTTACGGGTTGTGTAAAAAGAAATACCTGTCTCCTAAGTTTGTACATTTATTTGACAGTTTATGAAGAATGCCAAGACACATTGCTGAAGCAGACCAGCCAGCATAGCTGTCTTTAAGTGACAATGCAGGATTGTCTTGGACAACAGGTTTTATGATGTTGGAGATTCTGAAGATTAATAATGACAATGACATTGACAATGAAATTTATTGCATATTCATGCCCCAGTGAGGCTAAATGCAGTACGTTAGTTACAAATAAGGAATAGGAAGACTATGCTATGTTCTACAATCATGTAAGATTTACAAGCTTCTTGAATATAATGGAGAACAAGAGGCCAATTCATGGCCAAGTATGCAGCTCTTCTTAGCTTGTTTGTTTTGCAGTAAAGCTTACCAGTTCTGTACTAGTGTTAGTACAATCGAGGCTTTGTTTTGAGCCATCACTCTCACACAGATTGTACCACAAGTGTTGAAATAGGATGCTTGGCTCTCCAATATTTGTAAGATTTTCACTATTTCAAACATCGTTGTTTTACACATTTTCTTGTGCTATAAGCCTACCTGGGTCCATAATGACATTTGGGGAGTAAAAGATCAACATCGTTGCGCCGCAAAACGTATTGGAATCCTGCCAACTCCTAGTTTTGTTTAAAGCTGTTCGTTTACATTCTTTTTAGGAGCCTCCTAAAAATACAGTGGGCCTGGTGCAACTTATTCTCGCGCCAGAAAAGCGAAATAGCAACGCTCATATGTTGAAAGTTATTGAAAATGGCAATCTAGATGAGAAAATTTCAATTATTTATATTCACAATTTTGAGGCGAAAATCTGACATATGGCCACAGCAAGTAATTTTTATGGATGACATCAGCGCGCGCATTAATTTTCGCCTGATTTTGGAAAAAAAACAAGAAATTTTGTTGCCCTCTGACAGTGGTCACCATGCCGAAAATAGGCTAAGATGTCTGTTGCCATGCCGGAAGGTGGATGGCAGATAACTATGAAGGGAGGAGACAAGACAAGGCTCTGATTTAATGTCTTGTTTCTTACTTTGATGCAGTGATATGTGATGTTGGCTGTGTATATGTGATGTTCCCATTGAATCAAAACCATTTGTACAATGATTGAGTCAAAATTTCAAAATGTAAGAACCTTGTTTTTTTCGGCCCGCCTTGTTTTTTTTTTTGCCCGCTCGCCTTAGATTTGGAATCTATGGAGGATGTCGTCCATAAAATTTACTTGCTTTGGCCTAATATTACTTTAAAGATTTGACATTCAAACAACTGATCCTTAAGTATTGAACAATGAGCTTTGTCGTGATTGGTCAACCTTTTTCTAGGATTTCCGGCTAAGCTGGCACAACGACATCCGTCCCAAGGGGCGCACGTTCTGTTTCGATGCTCAGATGAAGGGTGGGACACTCATCCTGTTTGCCTGCCACCAGATGTTGGGCAACCAGCACTGGCTGTACTATGAGGTCTGTGGTTTATGATACTCTACTGTTCACTATTTAAAGTGGGAAAGATTTCTATCCAGTATTAACTAAACTGTTCTGTAATCAATCTCATGGTATAACCATTTCTATACTTAGTGATGTGGAATTACAAGACCCAAAGGCTGCTTGGAGATTCCTGAATAAGGTGGACTGGAGATTTTCTCTCCCCAACTCAGAATTATCAAGCCCAAGACAAGCTCAACTCACTATATAAGAGTGAGAACTAACTGGTCTGATAGAGGCAGGGCTTATGAAGGCTGCTCAAGAACATTCCCTATTCTATTTAGACCAGCATTTTTATCCACTCAACCCGAATGGGCCCCCTATACTCTGTTCGATAAGTGTGGTGGGTCCTTAAACATGAGCAAGGTTTGGCTTCTCTCAAACAGGGGACCTCCATTTATTGTCCCATCCAATAGATGTCCCTAATCAATGCTAGTTACTGACATCATTTGTAACTTTGGGACAATGACAGCACTGAGATGGTACTCATTTCCGCAGGAGGTAATAACTTCCCTTGCACATTTCTGTTGTTGACAGGAGAAACAGCAGCTGCTGCACAAGGTGACAGGCAGCTGTCTGGAGGGGAACAGCGACAGCAAGAGCCTGTTCCTGAGCGAGTGTAACCACAAGAACCCCATGCAGCAGTGGTCCTGGGAGAAAACCAACTCCACCTACCTCCACATGATGAACACTGGCAAGTGCATCAACACACCTGAGTGTTGAACACCTGTATCAACACCTGAGAGTTAAACACCTGTGTGAGCACCTGGGAGTTAAGCACCTGGGTCAGCACCTGGGAGTTAAGCACCTGGGTAAACACAACTGGGTGTTAAACACCTGGGTCAACACAACTGGGTGTTAAACACCTAGGTCAACACACCTGAGTGTTAAACACCTGTATCAACACCTGGGAGTTCAACACCTGGGTCAACACACCTGAGTGTTAAACACCTGGGTCTACACACCTGAGTGTTCAACACCTGGGTCAATGTACCTGAGTGTTTAAGACCTGTATTAACACCCAAGTGTGTAGCACCTGGGACAATGTACCTGAGTGTTAAACACCTGTATCAACACCTGAGTGTGTAACACCTGGGTCAATGCACCTGAGTGCCAAACATCTGGGTCAACACACCTGAGTGTGTAACACCTGGGTCAATGCACCTGAGTGTTAAACACCTATATCAACACCTGAGTGTGTTAACACCTGGGTTAATGCACCTGAGTGTTAAACACCTATATCAACACCTGAGTGTGTTAACACCTGGGTTAATGCACCTGAGTGTTAAACACCTGTATCAACACCCGGGTGTTTAACACCAGGATCAATGCACCTGAGTGTTTAAGACCTGTATCAATACCCAAGTGTGTAGCACCTGGGACAATGCACCTGAGTGTTAAACACTTGTGTCTGAGATCAAAATCATGAGGAGGAAAATATCATCATGTACACTCATTTCGTTAAAATTGGCTGGAGGGGTATTTAAAATATATATTCTGATAAAATTGATACAAATCTAATGCTGCAGTGTTTGATAGTGGACCAAGTTTTTAAAACTAGTACGTGGATTCATTGATGAATCATAATTCTTGGAAGTTTGTCCTTGAAAGTTGCAAGTAATTATGTAGATTCTCCGGATCAGTGTTAAGATATATCTCAAGGATACATGTCTGTCGTTCTCTACATTATTTAGATTACTAATGGTAGCCCATTGGCACATTTATACAGGGCAACTGAGGTAGAGCCTTTGTATGGTTTCCAAGATGGTGCTCTTGAAAAAAAGGAAAAGAAATTTGAAATTAAGGTCTACATTCATTTTGACCAGTTTTATGTTCTACACAAAATGTTTGAGTCAAGTGATAATTAAAGGTGTCATTTGTGCAAGTTGCAAATTGAATAATGATTTTCTTATTTAGTTGAATGTCACAAAATACTTAAATAAGATTGTAGGAGTAATTTTGAGAATTGTGAGACCTGTAGTGCATATTTAGTATGTAATAATTACAGATGTACACACTGTATAGTTTCAAATACTTGTATAGGCAATTGTACAGTTGGTAGCAGTCTGAACCGTATTTTATATTGACCAAAAGTTGACACTCTTACGGTATCAGACTACGGTAACTTGTATAGTTTAGTTTGGAAGTATGTAAGATAGTATCTTAGGTGATGTGGAATTTTTTTTAGGTTGTTTCAGAAGTGTGTATGCAAACTCTCTAGGACAGTTGGAGTCTCTGATAAGGGTTTTGGGTATCAGGTATCTTGGAACTCCCCATTCACAGCCTGTCATTTAGAGCTTATAATTGTTTTTTTGATATTGTCGTGGTTCTGATTTGAATGTTACCCAGATACAATATAATATAGTTCATATGCCCTAAACCCTATCAGAGCCTCTGGTTGTTATTAGACAAAAATACATGCATATAAGTATGTAGTCAGTTGAGGGCTAGTCCATTAGCACAATGGGCGTGTGCATTTCTGAACAATTGCGTAGACCATAAACAGCACACAAAGTTTTTAGTACAGTAAGGCAGTTGGAAAAAATTGTTTATAATTGGCTAACACTTCCTGTCATGCATTCATATGCTTGCTGATCAATCTCTTTATGTTTTATCATGAAAGTTCATCTGAGTTGGTAGTAATCATAGTAAAACGTTAAACTTTATTCCAACACACAATTTACAGGGACAAATTTTCAGCGACCAATGTCAGAGCACTTCAGCCTTCACTTAATAGAGATGGTGGACGATATAAACTCCCTGGCACTTTTGATCAATTGCATACGTCACGTATCAGTAAAGTCTCGTGTGAATAAGGTCACGTGTTTGTAAACTGTAACTCTCGCGAGATCACGTTGTGAAGTGTTTGGTCATTAATTATGCTGATGAAGGCGACAGTGGTCGCTGAAAATTTGATCCCTGTAAATTGTGTGTTGGAATAAAGTTTAACGTTTTACTCTTTATGTTTTGTTTTGTGTCAAAAGTATTACAGCAGAGGTTCTGTGATATTACCACATGGATGTCTAGTGTAGAGAAGAAAGTGTGCAATTGTAGATCATTGATTGTGTACAACAAAGTAAAAACAACTTCTCAGCCATAAACCTAAAAAAATATAATCTTGTGGATGACATCTTCCGGGTATACAAAATACTGTGCAAATGCCACCAAATGCTGTGCAAACTACACCAAATCAGCCTAAGTGATTATACATGTAGGAGATAGTATGTTCTTTGGAGTGAGTTATACTATGGCTTTGCGAATGTCATCTGCAAACTTCAATTGTATACATTTGATGTCATGTACACATAGTAATTTTTGTCCTGTACACTTTATATAGCAAACGACAAAGCTGCAATTTGTAATGAGATTTTATGCAATATTTTAAAACGATTTCTGCAAGAAATGACTCAGTTCTATTGTGAGGAGCGTGTGTAAGAAGGTCTTCTTCCTCTTCAGAAGTTTTCACCGATTCTTCTTTCGCTCCTAAATGGAATTTTCTTTATCAAATGTCGACATTTACATGTAAAAGAAATTTTACCAACTATAGTATGTACAATTGATGTAAATGTTCACCATCATTTTAGAAATTGAGATGACTATTTAAGGAAATAAATAATGATTAATCAAATGATCAAGAAGTTACATTTTTGGCATTTATCATTATTGGAGTATACGTAGCTACTTGGCTTTTCATACCTGGTTGAGGCGGGGCACTCTTAGAACATCGGCCCAACAATTCTGTCTTTTTCTTATATTTCAGTCCATACCATGGTATGGATGAAATATATTGTGATCTCTCATGTTTCTTCTCCTCCTCCTTCTCCTGCCAAACAGTCAAAGGGATTCAACTCCGCCATCATTCAGCCAAATGACTTGAAATTTGGCATGGAGGTAGAGTGGGCCAATACCCCCAGGTTTTTTTCATTTTTTTGATAAATGCCTTTGAAAAATTTTTAGGAAGGTTTTTTTGGGCATTTTTTTCCAAAAAAATGGATTTTTGGATCCTGAGCCCTGGTTTTACAACCAAATGATCTGAAATTCGGTATAAGGGTACCTTGAACATGTGTCTACAGAATAGCAGTCATATATTTGGCATACACGACTTCCAAATGACTCATTTGGGGGACTTTAATGGCTCTTTTCAGCAAAAAAAGGGCCAAAAGTGCTATACCCGTTCCATGTTCTATCTAAAGAATGGCCTGTTCCATCTGCCGTTGGCCATGGAACACATGTTCCATTGCGGGTTACCTGGGGTCACATTGCACGTAAGTCGTGCGTAATGACCCACACATTCAATTTTATGTGCCTAAGACCTTCAAAATGTATCAAATCTCATCATTGTTAGTATTTGCATACCTGTAATAAGATTAGTAAAGCTTTCGAGATTCAATGTGCTTGTTCTTACATCTTTGTTCTCACTTACATAGCTACTATATAATTCATTTATTTGAGAATCTTTGCCAGTTTTACACTGGGGTAAGTTTGGAATAGTCCACTTTTGCGTGGGAGGGAGATGGACTGAAATATGCTGTATTTGCTCCCAAGCAAATGTCGGCCTCTCTAGTTTAGATTTGGTTCTTGCATTTTGATAACGCAGTATTTCAAGGCTGCGGCAGAAGCATCCACCAGCAAGCATATAATTAGTAAGACTGTCACGTTTTTTTTTCGGAACAAGAAAGCTGAATATTGAATGAATGAATGAACTAAAATTCCGAGATCTCATACCTCCATGAAATATGATCTTGATATGTAAATGTAAATTTCTTCTTTAATTGTGCAAATGACCTCTGCATTAACATGATATATGCATCGTGATGTATGTTAACTTTTGATTAACTTACAGATGTCCCAAATATGACATTCTCATCATTCACCATTACGAAATCATAGAATTTGCGCATTAATTATGCAAATTAGGTCATCATTTGCATAATTAGTATCTGTTGAAGTTCCGCCTGCCATAGGTTACATACATTACATGTATGTAAGTTGTATAATGTAAAACACTGTAATTATAGAATTTCCTCATTAATTATGCAAGTAAAGTCCTCATTTGCATAATTTGGATTTAATTATGTACATCTCTCTCTCAGCTACATTTGTACCTACACACCAAAAATAATGAAAATATGTTGTTCCTGTCTGGACTTATTGGCTTTTAAACATTTCGCCAGAAAGTGCCCTGCAGTTCCAGAACAAGCCGCTAGGGGGCCCAAACTCATATGACTTCTTCCCAAGCACGAGAGCTACCTTCCATCAAAATTTCATGACCCTAGCATGTCCAGATCGCAGATATCAAAACCGGAAGTTGCGCTGCAGTACCAAGGGAAGCCACTAGGGGGACCAAAATCTAATCATTTCCAGTTTTCGTCACACCCTACCAACACACCAAGTATGAAACCAATCCATCCAGGCGTTCTTGAGTTATACTGTTGACCAACAGACAGACAGATAAACGCAACTGAAAATATAACCTCCATGACACATTTCATGGAGGTAAATATAACCTCCATGACACATTTCATGGAGGTAAATATAACCTCCATGACACATTTCATGGAAGTAATAAGATAAGACATAAGTACTAAATTTGCATATGCCTTGTTTGCATAAGCCAGTTTCGACTTCTTTCAGCTCATTTAGTAGTGTTCAACAGCGATGGTACAGGATCATTTCGTACGACCGTTAGATAAACTTGCCATGACACGTGTTTTCTGTATGTTGATCACGTGTTTGAGGTATGCTCGATCACGTGCTTTCTGTTTGATCACGTTGGTCATTTACACGTGCTCTTCATCGACCTGTATTAAATAAGTTAAGTTTACGTGACTTGAGAGGTTAGAAATCTGCTGCAACTCCTTGTCTAAATTTTTCTCTACATAATTTACTCCATTTATGCGAAACGAACATTCATGATTTGATTCAGGCGAGTGTTAAAACTTGATATCTATACTCGCCCCCTCCCCACCGCCTAAAGGCTGTTCTAGAACCCCAAACCAGCCATCAGTTGCTGTCAATGACGTCATAGAACACCACAACAAATGTTGTAAACACATCGCCGCTAGTCGTCAGCCAGAGCAGACGTGAACCGTCACCGCTCCAGCTCACCGCCGCGATTTTCTCAGAAACCTCAATAAAGATTTGTCTTACACTAACAATTCTTTATCCACAGCTCGTTCGAGACCGCAGGGCTTAAGGTGAGACCATAATTTGTTGTATTTTTACTGATGACTATGAAAAATAAACACACAGATATTGTCACTGCGCACAGCCCCACTAACAGCATGTTGCTGCGGCGCGCTGCCGGGACGTACAGCTGGTTTATCGCACGTTAGATTTTCTGCACGTCAGCACGAAACTAGTGAGTAAATCCGTGGACATTTTTGGCTCGCGTAGCAAGGCAAAGTCACGAAAATGGAAGAATGTAGTGCCTTTGGAAACAATATTGCGAGCGCGGCGATTGTTCAGTGCATTAACAAGCGTAGTTAACATCAGCGAACATCAACCAACTCAAGGTAGGTACGGCTCGCGCGGGATATGTACTAGTAACAGTATAAAGTGTTTAAAACCTAAGATATTAGATGGAACTATAGTGGGTAAAGTTTATATTTCAGATGTAAGCTATCAGCTGCAGTGCCGTCATGTTACGGCAGGTGGCGCAAAATGGCGACACTTTGCAGCGAGACTCGTTCTACAGAACAACGGCCGGGCATTCTAGTGACCAACGCCGTGCTAGAGGACGAACAAAATAAAACCTACTAGTCTTTAATGTCTCCATCTGATTACTGAGTGTTTCTATATACTAGTAGGAACGCTATCTCATTAGTTCACTAGCTAAGGAAGATTTAGTTCTTCTTCTGGTGAAATAAGGAGGTAGAAGAGTGCTGTCTCATCTAGATAATTAATGAAATAGAGCAACACTATCTCATTAATTCCCTAGTAAGAGAAGATAGGAATTATTTGAGATACGATTGGCGCAATGTACTGCGACAACGTATTTACGAATTGTTATCATATGTAATTGTAGTTATCGCGTATTTCCTTTCAAATATTTCACTGAACTAAATATGTGAGCACAAGAGCTATATCACTGTGAGGATTTTACTAGTGTGTAATCTACTATACAGATGTATACACATGGAACCAAAGCTTTTTATGAAATTTGTATCATGTAATGACTACCTTTGTTGTACTAGTTTGTAAAAGTTCCATGTAGTAGTTCTTGAATACATGTGAAAGAGAGACAGTATTCTGTATACAAAAATGATTGAATTGAGTAACGTTCGTTGACAGTTCATATGTAATGAGAGGACTAGTAATGAGTTTTTTTTGCCTAGAAATAATGTACACACATCCTACATGTACCCAAGTGTACGTTATGTTAGAGTTTGCACATAAATTGTCATCTTTCTCTCCCTCCTACTCATCTTTAGTTGTCAAGCTCCGACGGAATTTGTATTGGACTCAAATCAATCTAGATCTTTTGTATGATAATCGCTGAAAATTGATTTCCCTTTTTCTATATCCCAAAGCTGTTTCCTTGCGGAGTAGGGGCAGGTAGGACTTGGGCAGCTCCCAACCTTCATTGCGATTCATCCAGGCACGTTCCAACTGGATATGGACCGCTTCCTTAATCTTTCTATGTGACTTCCGGGATTCCTGGTCTATAATCTTAACGATGTCCAAAATAGGGCCGTTTGTGACCCTATGTCCCGCTTTGAGTTCATCGGTTGGCTAAGCGCGGATTTACCGTCCTGGCGGTCTACAGATTTCTGATGTTCGTCAGTCCGTTCACCTAGGGACCTTTCGGTTTCACCTACATATACCTCACCACACATCTCACACGATATTTTGTAAACAGTGCCACAATACAGTCACTGATTGAAGAATTTCTACTAACTGTTAATTCTACGTGACTGATGAACCTCTTCAACGATCTTTTCCCCAGATTTCACACCCAAACAGAAGTATTGGGTTAATACAAGCGTCAAATATTCTAAGCAGGCACTTTAGAGAGACAGATGAACGTTGTAAAGATTTGAGACATTTTAGGGCGCTATTTAGGGCGTTTTGCAGTCCTTTGTCGGACTCGGAAAATAAGACAACGTCGTGTACCATACGTATAAGAGGCACGATACAAATAAGCGATGTAGAGAGGGTGGTGAGCATTCAATATCATCAAGTACAGTAACTTAATCATTTATGAAAATATCAAAAAGCGTCGGGCTGAGATTACACGCTTGTCTAACACCTTTCACAGTTGCAAATACGCTTTAGATAATATGTTTTAAACAGTTCAACAGAATGCAATGACTATTTAGCGAGAATTATATAACAGTGCAGGATGCCATGATCTTGGAGTAGATTCATCAATTAGAAGTGCCGGAGCGCCCCGCACTTGCCCTCTTTTTCATCACACACTCTCTCTTTGCCAGATGAATGTGTGGAAATGCATGAATCAGTACTTGAAATATTTCCCATGGAAAGGCAATTAATTGTCACCGGTACGGCGGTACCAGGCTTGTATTAGACAACCATTTGATCTATTGGGGTCAACTGAATGGCATTGTCAGCGGTATTTTCCCCTCCCCCCGCAATATAAACATGAAAAATACTTACGTTTTGGAGAAACATGAGAGTTATACATTAAAATTTACAGAATTGGGGACAATCTCTCAAATTCCGTCATGGAGCTTTCTGACTTGACCGCTTCTCTACTCATGACAAACATGTGCAACTGCAGCCGCAAGACCAGTGAAGTACTGTGTGAAGCTGTTGTACTAGCAGATTCACCCGCCAGGAGGCGCTATTTCACTTCGAGATCAACATCAACTTCGTCATGTCTTGCTGCATCAGCCACGATACCGATCCACCCTAGGTGTAGATCAGGTCTGTCTAAAAACGCAAACCATCACATTTAGCAATAGAAAAAAAATGAATNTCTGATTACTGAGTGGTTCTATATACTAGTAGGAACGCTATCTCATTAATTCACTAGCTAGAGAAGATTTAGTTCTTCTTCTAGAGAAATAATGAGGTAGAGGTGTGCTCTCTTATCTTAGGAATTAATGAAATAGAAACACTATCTCATTAATTCTCTAGTAAGAGAAGATAGGAATTAGTTGACACAGATTGGCGCAGTGTAATGCCAAAACGTGTTTATGGGTTGTTATCATGTATAATGTAGTTATCTCGTATTTCCTTTCGAATATTTCTCTGAACTAAATGAAAGATAACTATATGATTCTTAATACAAACTGTACGATATGTGAGCACAACAGCTATATCATTGTGAGGATTTTACTAGTATGTAATCTACTCTACAGATAGACATGGAAACAGAGACTTTTGTAACGACTTCCTTGTTTTTAAAAAGTATCTATGCAGTAGTTCTTGAATCCATGTGAAAGAGAGCCAGTATTCTACTCAGTCTATGTGAAAGTGTGGTAAGTTTCAATCATT